TCCTGCTGAGTACCTCAACGGATTGGAAAAGGCATTGGCTCAATTCACATCAACCTCCAGAACCTCAAGCACCATCAATGACAAGAGACGGGGATCATTCGACTGCACCCTGCAGACCGCAGAAACCGAAAGAGTCATGAAGATCATCCACGCAATCCCCGGATATGAATCGCTGGCCAACTTCTGCTGCCTCACGGAGTGGGAGAAGGATCAGGTATTCTCTCAGTATCGAAGAAAGCACAACATCACAGGGGATGACGTGATGACGCCAACATGGGCGCTGATGCCGATGCCAAGCCAGGTGACGAGTCGTCGGCTCACCCTGGGGAGGAGGAAGCTGATGAGCCAGCAAATGATCCCACTGATGTGGTCAGGGACTCAGAGATTTCCGGAAAACAACAACTTTTGGATGCGTTGGGAAAACTCTTTACCGTCTCTGAGGATGTCAATGTGTGCTTGTATTGTGGTAGCACCAAACATGGTCATCTTGAATGTGAACATGAGAAGAAGGATGAAGTCAGAAAGGTGCTAAAGGCCGTCCGAGCGTCGCTCGAGGCTGATAGTCCCACATCTGATGACGTCGATATGGAGCCTCCTGAGCACAAGAAGGACGGATCAGGTGCTACTGAAGGGTCGGGGCAAACGGATGAACCTACAAAACCGAGGTTTAGTGAACACCAATGGTACGACAGCATCAGAACTATGTCCGAAGTTGGTGACCTCGATGAGTATGGTAGGTTCTGCATAGAAGGACGTGATGTTACAAAGCTAGGACCACAGAACGTTGTTGACCTCAACGAAGTGATCCGGGACGCCATTGTCAGAGGAGGAGGTGACACTTGGTCAGTGCCAGAATTCCTTGCAAGCTACTCTGACAACAACATCAGGAAGCCCTTCTACAAACGAGTCGAGGCGCCGCAAGATGGTTTCTTGAAAATCATCCCTACGACGGGGGCCCATTTCTTCAACTGCTTTTACTTTGGCGGTGTGGAATATGCGGCCAACTACCGCTTCGAAACTGGCAACCGGCTCGACCCCTACGAGGACAAGGTGAGTACCTCACTAAACAGGATCCTGCGGCACAATGTGGGGAAGGTATCAGAATCGCAGAGTCTGTTCTGTGATGACGCCGGCTGGGTGCCCATTGAGGAAGTGCTCAAATGTGAGTCCATCTGGAGACACGAGCACGCACGCTGGCCACACGTATTCCTTGCCCCAAAAGGAAGAGCAAATGATCAGAGTGCATGGAATGTCAATGAGGCGAACTACCGCATGACATTGCTCTTCAAGATCATGTTCCACTGTGCCCGGTATGGACGTCGTGTGCGTGAACAAGTATTGGCATTTGGGATCAACAAGGACATTGATCGCAGCAGCCTGACGTGCATTGACAACAAAGTCGAAGCGGACACGCACATCCCTGATGAAGGTCTACTGCTCTACCCAGTGGCGGTCCGTGCTCCAACGGGGCACAAGGAAGGATCTTCAAGAGACGACGTCTCATTGCTGTCCTCGTTACTTTCACATCCAATCGCACCCAACACCATTATGTCATTACCGGTCTGCTTTCACATCACCAAGAAGACCAACCTCCGAAGCATTTGGAGGCAGGGATTAATTCCAGGAGGTCTTGGAGAAGGTCATCGGATGTTCACGTTCTTCAACCCGTATGTGCCATGGGATCACAGATCATGGACCATCACGAAGAGCGTTGATACGCGAAAGGGGGACTACATTTGCTTGTTCATCCCAACCGAGACCTTGATGGTGGAATATGGCGGTCGACTGACTGACTCGGGACAGATCGTTTCACCAAAGATCATCCCGTTCTCGGCAATCAAAGGAGGATGGATTCAGGACCCCAAGGATCAGTACAACAAGACATGGCTCCGGTTGTTCGTCCCGTCGGGCGACGACCAGGTAGTCCGGTCTGGAACTATCAAATCAAGAACAGTAGCCACCAAGGAGTCCATCCTGAGGGTTGCAAGTCAATGCATCGACGCCGAAGACCAACCGTATGACGAAACCGCCATGGATGCCACGAACATCGTCAACCAATTCAAGAACAACCTCATTGAGCCTGGCGGACAGGAGCAATACCTGGCCCGCATCAAGCTGATTGACTACATAGTCGAACGCAAAAGGGTGCAAACTTCAGGTTGCCGACATTGTCCTCATTGTCTTAACGAGACGCCGATGAAGCTGGCAGTGTGTCTAGTTTGCTGGACAGAACTCGAAAGTTGTGGAATTCGTCCATATCGGCTACAAGCTCCTGAAGACGATGAAGATGAGGCCACGAAGAAAGAGCTCGATGAAGAGGTTCGTCGACAAGAAGAATCGCTGTTCAAGGATACGGTCCATCAAGCACAAGAAAACGTATCCGAATCCAATGACTACGGCTTCAATCCTGACGAGGTCGACTACAATGAAGGCGATGATGAGGAAATGGATCAGGAGGAGGAAACTCAACAGGAAGACGACGAAATCGTTGAAGAAGAAGACGACGATGAAATGGACGTCGAACCTGAAAATGAACCTTCTTCCAAACTTCCAGCATGGACTAAGAATCTTGAGAGCGGAAGCAAGGGTATGCCGGAAGACGGACTTATCAACAATGATGTCTCCGAGGCCGCGGCTCACTTGTACGACAATGCCGTCATGTCAAAGGTCATCGCAATGTTCAGGCTCTACTATAAACAGAGAGTCACTCTGACCCCAGAGGAATACTATGAGATGATGACGGAAACCAAGCGAGTCCGGCTGGACCTGGACGACTTCTGCCCCTACACAGGCGAAGACCAGGATGGCAACCTCAAGCGACCGACGGAGCTGGAGTTGGACGAACTCTTTCAGGAGAAAGGGAAGAAGAACTCATGGTCAGAGGGAGAGAAGATGTACTCAGGACGACCAAGAAACATGATGATGCCTGTCATCAAGACTTTAGAGGTCTATGAAAAGATGATGGAATTTCTGATATGCGCCGGGTACACTCCCGAGTCATTAGGTTTCCTCATGCCAATGAACCGAATGCAGGCTGATGCCCAAGGGAAGCAGGAGATGAGAGTGACCATCAGCAATTTTCTCCGACGACTGCTTAAAGGAACCTTTCCAGAACACGAATCATACACCTTCTTTCGTTCCGGGAGCCACGGCTTCCCCAACTGCATTGAACTCCCAGCTTTCTCGGTATACCTGAGTCTGAGAGAAAAGGAACAGAGGGTGGAACTACTCTTTGCTGCCCAACAATGCGGCATTCCTTTACCTCAAAACTTTGTCAGCAAGATGGCTTATGCTATTCAACTGGCTGAGGCCGAGGCGCAGAGGGGGAAGACCGAGATGAAAATGAAGATGGCTCCAACCCTTGGCGACGAAGTGGTGAGTGAGGTATTCAAAGCAGTCGGGCATAGTGCCGCTTCCAAGTTTGCCACCGCAGACGCGAAAGCCAAATCATCAGCACAACCTTCACAGAAACCTGAAGGCACTGGTTCAGCATCATCCTCATCGGCTAGCGCACCAAAGGCTAAGGCTATGCCGAGATCCCATGAACCATCAAAGGCACCACCTGCGAAGCCCTCATCGCCGAAAGCTGCTCCGAAACGTGCGGCAGGATGGGAGAAATCTCCAACAACACCTCAATGGAAGAAAGTCCGCCGTGAGCAGTAAACCAATTACCTCTATCCGTCAAAATGATCACTGGACTATAAGATGTGTATCGTCTTTGTGAACAGATGATCAGGAAAAGACCAACTGAGTGGACTCTGAGCGAGGCAGTAGACTAATTCGCTTAGGTTCGAAACTTTTGATATTCCCAATCTGCACGAAATTCCGCACAGTGCACGTGAATTCGTTAGTTAGCATTGTAAATCTTTGGTAGCGAAGCGATCCATTTCTCCCGTCGGGTGAGTGGCATGCCTAGCCAACGTAGAAAAGTAGATGTTAGCTAGCAATAATTCGCGTTGTACAGCTCGATGAAGCGCCGATGCATCGACAGCCAGAGAGTAGGCGAACCCTGAACCATTATTCCCGTCGGGTATGTGGGGAAGGGGGAGCCGAATGGCACGTTTTATGTACATAGGCGTAACTCAAGCAGCAGAAACAATCTAATTCAAAGTTCTCTCTCTCGTGTCCGTGGTTCGAAGAATACCACGGGCATGGGGGGTGTCAAAGGGAACTAGGCGCTAGGTGCATGTGTCACATGCATGTATCACTGCATAACAAACGCCCATTGTGGCTCAAGCGCCCGTTGAAGGAAAAGACTCGTGCCGTCGCTGCCGCGCCATCACGGGACCCGGTTGACTAGCGAAGCAGGCATCGGAACTACAATTGGCAACACCTAGGACAAGGGTGAAATTGTTCACAATTGGCATATTATATAATTATATATATATATGTGTGTGTGTGTTTATAACACACCTATATATATATATATGTGAATGTTACAGTGCTAAAAGATGGTGAACATCAAAGCGTTCTATTCTCCATTTTCCACGTATTCGTTCGCAAAAACCGAGGTGATACCATGATGCGGACCGATGTTCAGCGTGAGAAGCAGAGAGCTCTGGCCCTTCTACAGGCTGACGTTGTTTGAAGCCCAGGCTGAAGTCATTTTTACCTGCGCAGGTGAGCTAACACATCTCAAGAGTCTTGGTGTAGATGTGTCTCACTCCAGCTCAAATGCTCACCATGATTTTCCATTTTGTTCCGTTTTGTCCCGCCAAAGGCCGGCAACCTCGGAATTTGCTACAGGTGCTTGGTTTGTTGCATGTGATGCTGCTCTCATGCCGTGTTGGAACTGAAAACCCTGCCTCGTACCATGCTATCTTCAGGCGATTGAAGGACTTTGGACAAGCCATTCATCAATTGCAGCCCGGCCATGTCAGTAGGAGAACTTGTATGTCGGATTTGTCTTGTGTCCTTGTCTCTCAGCTGTAAACATTTTAACTTTTTTGTGCGTGATGCGATGTGGATTGACTGGATTGATGTAGCACAGCGCTTGGGCTATGAGGCAGCTTGCGCTAAAATTCCGCGAGGCGGGCTGACAAGACCTTCAAGTCCTGTAAACTTCCATGCAAACGCTCGGCTTCTTTTGCAAGACGTCTCCACGTGGATTTTTCGCTCGTTTGCAGATTCGTTTTGAGAATTCTGAAAGCAAAGCACTCGCCTCAGCAAGTCCAGAATGATCAGAATGTGCTGGCTATGCTGAGTTGAGTCATGCTGCTGGGCCAACGAGGTAGAAGCATCAGATCTTCGCACTCTAGCGCCCTTCTAAGAATCAAACCTTGGGACTGGCGCATTCCCTCAAGTTTGGAAGAAGTTGCGTCAGCATTACATCCCATGAGCGAAATAATGCCTGGTTTTCCACTGCAGGTGGCTGCCCACTTGAACTTGGCTTCATGCTACCTGGAATCTGAGGCGTGTTTCGAAGTGTTTCGTACTTTTCAGATCTTTTCATCATGTTGAGCATGTTGTGGCAACAGCATGAAAATGCCTAGGCTCCAGATGCAGCTCTGAAGCATGCTTCAACAGCTGTCTCGTTCCTGGATGTGGCCTCTTTGTGGTTGATTCATATCAAATTGACACATGTAAGTAAGCTGACAATGCTAAGATTTGCCACCAGAAAAGCACTCCAAAGCTGTTGATTGCTAATCACCTTCGATATATACGCGCGAGCCCTTTACCAGGCACAGTTGAGCGGCCAAGTGCTGACAAGGAGATGTCATGTGTGTCGCAAGTGACTGAATGATGCATTGTGGCATTGTGTTTCATTCGTTTTACTCCAGCATTGTCATTGCACCAAGGGAATGCATGGAACGATGATATGCCAGGACACCAGATTCAATAGGAGATGTACCAGCAGGCAAACCTTTGTGAGTGTAAATGTGACAGCTCTTGACATAGGACAGAATATGATAGAATTAGAGAATTGGAGAAGAGATGAGAAGAGAGTTCTTGCTGAGTACAGTAATTGCTTTACACTGCTGCCGCAGAACCGACCGAAAACGACTTTGCGATGTTGGCTGTTTCCTTTCACAAGGCTGGTCAGCATATCAGAGCTGTACTGCAACAGCATCCTTCTGTGCAGAGTCAGCCATTTCGCATGCAATCGCATGCGCATTTGGACAGTTGGTGCTCGTGCCCTTGTATGATGTTAATGTTGAATTTCTGTTTCATTCTCTGAAACCTAGTAGCCTCAGTAGCCTCGGAGGTTGCAGAAGCACATGAGGCTCTGAAGGCTCCGCGAAGTTTGCAGACCGAAGACTCTTGCAAATCTCAAAGATTCTCAAAGTGAGATTTCTAGACGGCCTATGACGGCCTTCTTTCCGTTCATGTTGTTTTGCCGTAGGAATGGGGCAAAGCAATATTTGCTCATACACAGGCACGTGAGGCGCAAGATCCAGCAGACAATACAGTATCAGGTAGATGCAAAGAGCAGGGAAACAGCATCCACCGAATTCACCGCATTTATATGCATTTACAGTATATGTTTTTGATAACTATTATTATTATTACCATTTATCCATGTCATATGTTATATATTATTTCATCAGTGTCTCTGCGGTCTCTGACAATCTGCAACATGAGATAAGAGATGATAAGAGTCATGTTTCATGTGAATTCATGCGATGCATAATGCTGTGCTGGCACCCTGATCCTTGGAGGTTGTTCAGCGGAGTCTAGGGCACCAGCCTTGGTGAAGATTCACCATGGTGTGCATGAACTCTCTAGATCGTGCAAGGTTTAGGCTCCAAAGGAGGCGTCACCAAGGATAGAGGATAAGAACCAGCAAGAACCCGGGCCTATTGACATATTTGACATGTCATATCAGTTTTTTAATCATGTCATGATATTTCAATGTCTTTCAATATATCATATATTCCTTAGTCTTATTAACTATGTCTTAATGATATGAGATGCTTGGGCATTGGGTGGCCTGAGACAGGCAGGCCGCCTGGCAGGCCACCCTTGCTGAGGAGCTGTGATCTCAAATGGACTTGGTGAATCTTGAATGTGACGACGAGGTCATCCCATCCACTAGCACAATCATTGGCAAAATGCCGGCCGCAAGTGCCAACGGGCTGTCAATGGCTGAGACGACATCCACCTTTGAGGACTTGCATTTCAGCTCTGCGATGTTTTTTCTCCTCCATTTGTCTATGATTTAATCATATTTAATCTCAGCGATCATATAGAATTTCTCTTTGGAGTTGCTGCATCATTCTGCATAACCTTGGCAACTGTGGAGCTAAGGCCCCTCCAGACAGACAAACAGGCCGGACAAAAGAGACTCAAGACATTTTGAGGGAAAAACGTGAGAGCCCTTGCATAGATATGATTTCTGGGCGAGAACTTCACCTTGACAGAGAAATGCGAAGGTGACTTTGAAAACGAAATCGCATGAGAAAAGATGGGATGCGGATGTATGTGGATTCTTTGCAGTGCACCTGTCAGGTGCGCCATACGTGTTGAGTTGCCCTTGTAAGCCTTCGTAATTCCTTTTGCAGGAATTTCGGCTCCACATAAGACGCGAAAGGAGCCTCGTCAAAGCCAGCGATAAGTGTAGGCCTTCATCCTCCAGTCGTGATAGAGCTGCAGGAGAGCGCGAATTGCTCTTCAGCTCTTCATGCAATTTTGTCGCCGTGGAATTGTGAAGCTTTTGACTCGGCACACCACAGCTCAGAATCCCACTTCGTTCTCTCGCAAGGTGATGACGCTCACCAGCACTCAGCAGGCAATGATCGATCTAGAGGAGAAGCATGGAGCCCACAATTATCATCCGCTGCCAGTGGTGCTTTGCAAAGGCAGAGGCACCAAAGTGTGGGACATCGATGGCAAATCGTACTACGACTTTCTCTCTGCTTACAGTGCTGTGAATCAAGGGCACTGTCATTCCAAAATTCTGGTTGCTCTCATCGAACAAGCACAGAAATTGACATTGACATCCCGCGCATTCCACAATGATGCTTTGGGAGAGTACTGCAAGTTTGTGACCGGATACTTTGGCTTTGACAGGTTGCTACCAATGAACACGGGTGTTGAAGCTGGCGAGACCGCCATCAAACTTGCACGTCGATGGGGCTATGACGTCAAGAAAATCCCTGAAGGAAAAGCTCGTGTCATTTTTGCCAGCGGCAACTTCTGGGGTAGAACAATTGCTGCAATCAGCACATCAGAAGACCCGAGCTCAACGACTGGCTTTGGACCTTTTGTTCCTGGCTTTAGCAATGTTCCTTACGATGACGCTGATGCACTACAAGCTGAGCTGGAAGGACCACAGGGTGCAGAGGTGTGCGCATTCATGGTAGAACCTATCCAGGGTGAAGCAGGGGTAGTGGTCCCAAAGGATGGCTACCTGACACGTGTTCGTGAGTTGTGTGACAAGCACAAAGTTCTGTTTATAGCTGATGAAGTGCAGACAGGGCTTGGCAGAACTGGCACCCTTTTGGCCTGTGACCATGATGGAGTTCGACCTGACATTTTGGTGTTGGGAAAAGCTCTCTCAGGAGGAGTTCTGCCCGTGTCAGCTGTACTGACTTCTGATGAGGTGATGCTAACGATTCGCCCAGGAGAGCATGGCAGCACGTACGGTGGAAATCCTTTGGCTTGTCAAGTGGCCACTGCTGCTTTGGAAGTTCTTCGTGACGAGAATCTGACTGAGAACTCCAAGGCCAGGGGTGAGCAGCTACGGGCAGGTTTGCAGGAGCTTTCAGAAAAGCCTGGCTCACCCATCTCACTTGTCCGAGGCCGGGGCTTGCTGAATGCCATTGTCATTGGGGACGACAAGGGCAGCTATGGCGATGAGGGCCGAGCATGGGAGCTGTGTGAGAAGATGGCTGGCCATGGGTTGCTAGCCAAGCCAACTCACGGTACCATCATCCGCCTGGCCCCACCACTGTGCATTACTGAAGCTGAAATCGACGAGTGCATTGACATCATTCGCCGAAGCTTGGAAGCCATGTGAGAATGGATAGAAATTGATAGAAATGGATAGAAATGGTGCAATGCTGCAGGGCCGTGCCCGGGAGGATCTTGGCGGCAATATGAAACAGCCTGAAACAACGGATCGGTGATGATCCCAGGCCCAGCTTCCTTTTGATGAAGTTGGCAGCGTGCCACCAGATGCTGCCATTGCCATACGGTTGCAATGGTTCAGTAGACTTTTGTTGCAAATCAAATTCTTTGACATGGCTGCAATGTGGCAACGATTCTTTTTGCATCCTGTTGATATGTTGCATGGTGAAATGCAATGCGTTTCTTCGGTAGGTTTCAGCGCGAAGCTGGCAGAGCACCAGTCTCTAGAGTATGGCAGAGCAAGACCCGACGCCGTAGAGTCGTCAAAATTCACGTCCGCATCACTGCGTCCTGGATTTTTTTTCATCGTTTTGAATCAGGTGGTCCAATGTAGCATATGTAGCAAACGCATGCGAATGATCAAAGCGGAGCACTGCACCACTGTTCACAGATGTCGCCCCAGGCAGTCCGAGTTCTTGGATGTTTATGCCGCCAACATTGGGCGAAGCAGTGGTCTCAAATTCCGTCAACTTACTTTCATTTCGTTGGATTTGACGTTCTCCCTTTGCTGAATCAGCTTGATAGTGTAAATTAATAATGTTTGATAGGGTTTGATAGTGTTTGAATGTGTTTGATATATATATATATGTATATATACATATAGCTTTAATACCCTCAAAATCTTCCTGTAGAAAGACTCGCGTCTGATTTCTTATGCTGCTTTGGGCGAGGTACTGGATGTCCGATGCTTCGGTCGCAGCCTGATCAGCTGTAGGGATTCACGAGACATGGTCGAATAATGCCACGTACCTGGTCTTAGTGACTTAGTGAATCATGTGAATCTAAGGCCAGGAAAGGGGCAGAAGGTTTTACCATCAATTCCTCGAGGACTCAATTGGCAACCTCCTCCAAACAATGTAGAAGACGTATGAAGACGTAGAAGTGCAGACTGGCAGAAATGCATCTCCACTGACACACCAAACAGGGTGGCTCTGACAATGAGGGTCAACGAAGGTTGAAGTGATGAACTGGTTGCATCTCGGATTCTCGCCTTGCAGGAGCACGTGGGAAACCATTTATGACGACTGAAGCTTTGGGCTTTGAGCTCTCAGGCTACGATATGACTTCGTATATATTTGTATACAGATAGATCACGTTCTTCCCATTTCAATCAATCTGTGAACATGAGCTGCACTGAAGCAGAGAGGCATGCAGAGGGATAGGGTGTCTATGCATCGTGCTTCGGGGAGTTTGCCCTCTGGCACATGATACAATCAATTAGAATCATGCAGTGAGCAAAGGCCCATCCAACATGCAGATTAGTAATATGGAAGATTTAAATTATGGCCTACTACACTTGCGGATATACAAATATTCTTTGTATATTCAGATGTGCGTTTGCGTGTGCATATGTATGCGCAATGTTTCACGCATTGTGACCATGATATTCTTGAGTTGAACGCCTATGTCCGAGAGTGAGCTATAGTAACATAGAGTAACTCACTGGCCAGGATATGAAATCAGCGAACATGATTTTCCCAGCTGGTATGGCCCTTGGTTTGGCAGAAGCATCCTGAGCAAGGTGGGAACACTTGTGGTAAGAAAATAAAAGAAATGCAGACACTGGGACTGTGAAGTCTGTGAAGTTGAGGCCACCAGAAACATCAAGCAACGAAGAGAAGGCATGTAGACTTTGTAGACGCCTATGGCCATCTACAGCCATTGGAATAAACAGCTGCCTTGCTTCTTGGCCTGCTGTAGACATGAGATATGAGAGCTTGAGCACACATTGCATTCAAACGGGGATAGCGATGACCTAGGTATCCTAGGTGCACAAATGATATGTTGGTATTGGTATGAGTTCAATGCTCAACATCTCATGCTTTCGCAATAGTGTGCCAAAGCAGGGCAGTATCGTGGCTTCCGCGCAGGAATGGTATGCTATGGCCAGGGCATTGAGACATGAAGCACCTCCACTCCCAAAGCTTGCAATCAAGCAGGACCGGACCTACTGGTATCAAAGAAACATATATTCTACAATCCCTCTATATATATTTCTTTGAATGGATTGCTCTTCATTGTTCTTCGTTGCTGATTAAATTGAATAGAGCACTGAGCAATCTGAGCGATCTGAGCATGGGTCGTCAAGTGCCAATCCCAGAGCCTTGTTCGAGGAGCCTGTAGTCGACAACTTTCCTGCAATCCCGCCGCCCAGCAGGGGTATTCTGAATCGGCGAAGCCGATGATCTTGATGTGCCCATGCGGTGCGGATTGAAATTTCAGACCGACGAGTCATAAAGTATCGAACCTGCGCTGAGTCCCAGAAGAAGTAAATGACGTGCCATATTGTGCCAGGCAATGCCGGATGTTTTTGATATGTTTTGATTGTATTTGCATACTTCTTCACTCTGACTCTGTCTAGTCTTTGTCATCAATTTCTCACCGTCATGTCCTGCACTGCAGATCTTCGGCTCAGAGAAATCCGGGCATGCTGCACCGCTTGAGCATCCTGTGGACTGGTGTCCCATGCAGCTGATTGCATGGCTTGGTTGGACAAATTGTCGCAATTCTCAAGCTTTGATTTCAGCGCTGTAGGTGCTCAACTTGGTTATGAGCCTGGGGCCCCGACATCACCGAAAACCAGGAGTCCAGCACCTCCAGAAGAGGGTAAGGAATGGCCTGGCCAATCATGGGCCATTTCTAGTTTGCTGGATTTGAACAAAGTCGGAGCCCAGTTGGGTGTGCAAGCTGCACCCAAAGCAGAGGCGCATCATGCTTCAACAGAAGCTAAGCAAGACTCTGGCAGCGTCATTGCGCCATTTTCTGGCTTGTTTGATTTCGGCGCGATTGGTGCTCAGCTCGGTATTCAATCCTCCCCAACAGACAGTCAAACCACTGGTGCGCTTGGCACAAAGCCACACACCGCAGAAGCTTTGCCATCAGAGAGTGAGGCTTCCAGGAAACCTGCATTTTCTGGTTTGTTTGGCGGAGCACCCAGAGCGGAAGAGAGCATCGACTTCGAGGGTGCCCAGGAGGATGGCATTGATGCTCCAGGAGAAGTTCTTGCTGATGGCGGTGAAGCACTGGAAGAAAGTCACGAAGAACAGGCAGGGCCGGCAGGGCAGGCAGTGCAAAAGCAAAGTGCAGTCAAGACAATCGGATCAATCGGGCCTCAGATGAATCTTGATGGTGAAGAAGCCATAGATGCACATGCCGTTGACCCATGGGATCCTGCAGAAGCAGAGGAGGCAGGAGCACCACTCGAATCGCACAGTCTCTATTTGACTAGGGAGGACCTCATCTCTCATTGGGCACCATTTTCATCATACTTCCACCCAGGCATGCAAGTTGCCATTGCACCATCCCCAGAGCCGCAAGCTGCTGTAGAAGCAAAGGTGCCGACCCCGGAAGGTTTCCTGGTGGTTTCTGTCCAGCATAAAGAGTCAGTTGCCGATCCGACGGACATTTCCGTCGGCAGGTACTTCTACTTCGATGCATCTCCTTTTCCTACGTTTCAGTTTTCCACATACTCATGTTTTACAGAGCAATGGCGTCAAGGAGAGTTGATTTGGAGTGGGCAGGTGCAACTCAGTTTGGGAGCATATGGTTCCGTCGATCTGCCTGAGATAGCCAGCCCAGCTGCAGGACGCAAAGGTCGGGAAGAATCCCAACCAGGAGATTTCGAAGTTGGTGACCTGATATTCGTTGTTGGCTTTCATCGCGATCTCGCCAACACCAATGGAAGGCATGTAGACTTTGATCATAATTTGCATTTCTATCAGGCCGCTTGCGTGGGAAGCAGGCTTCCGTTTAATCAGGCCTCGGCGCTGTATGCTGATGACCTTGCAGACCTTGGTCAGCGTGTTCCACTTGGGATTGAGGTTGATGAACACGAGCTTGCAGCTGTGAGGCCTGTAGTGGTAGCTGTAGCACCAGCAGTTGCCAAAGCCAATGCTAATACAATCCTGCAATCAGTTGCACACACTACAGACCTATCAGCAGACAGCTTCGCATTGAGTCAAGACATTCCGAATGAGGGAGGAGCTGGCAAAATAAACTTAAGTGCTGCTTGGGCTGCTCGTCGAAAAGAGTTCCTACGCGCTGGGCTGAAGAGTCTTGAAAGAAGAGCGCAAGAAAACGAATACATCTAGCAATGCATCTAGGATCCCGCAGGAACCACTGCGAAAGCATGGTCCGGAGGATTTTGACAGCTGGCCACAAAGTGGCGCAAGTGTCATATCAGGTGCTTGGGACTAGACTTGTTGAGAAAAAGGCTTTGGTGTGAGCACATAGCTGACGGCATGTTGAGAATGAGAATTTGTGGCAGACTGTGCTGGGGCAGGGGGCGTCCATGGGGGATCATGTCAGCGTTTTTGTCCTACTTCAGATGGGGCCATGTAAAGTTACTACAAACACTAAAGCAAATTTCTCTATTTTCCTTGCGCCAGAAATTTGGGGTTCAAGGGGATTCTCCATAAGTGCCCCTTAGTGCCGTAGTGAGTATGGAGGATGAGCCAGAAGTTGTTCAAGAAGATGGCGGAGGCCGAGGACCACGACCCCGCGGCCCAGTGACTGGTGGCTGGGGATTCGATGATGGGGCGCAAGGTGGACCAAGAATGAGTGCAGAACCCCCATCTCCACCCCAGAGAGGCCACAAGGGTCACTTTGAAGAAGATGATGAAGCCGTTCCAACAATCCCAGATTTGGAGGAAGAAGCTGAGGAAGACATTACAAGGCAGGTTGCAGCTCCTCCCGTTGCAGCTCCGTCATTAGCACCCCCTGTGCGCACCGTGCGGGAGCTGGATGGTGCATTGAACAGTCGTGGCACCCAGCTGCCCACAAGCCCAGAGGAAGGTGTAGATTTGGCACCGTTGATGCAGTGCTTGTGCTCAGATCGCCAGGTCTTTGAGCAGGACAGCACTTGGGACCATGAGCTTATCTTCCAGGAAGTAGCAAGTGCCATCAATCAAGATATGACAGGAGATGAAGAGGCCGATGAGCTGGATCTTCAAAGGTGATGAGCTCCCTGTGGAGAAGATGTGAATGCGCTTGCAGGACTGAGAGCCAACTTGCTGTGCCGCAGTTCCAAAAAGAAGTAGTGGGAAGATAGCAATAGTAGCTCGCCGCAGCGTTGGCGGGTTGGTGACCCTTGAACACAGTTTATCATGGGAGCCACATGAAAGTTGCTTACTTTGTGTGCATTGGCTGGACTGACTAATTGCTCAAGCAGTGAGAAATTGCATATCAAAAGCGAGGTTGTCTTGTTTGATTCACTCTCAGACTCCAGGCTGTTAAGATCACTGGACACAGGTCCCATCACGTTACCCAAAGCCCACAAATGCACAATGAAAAGGAAGATGACTGAAGCAAAGCCAAGCCAGCCATTTTGTCACGCTCGCATGCCGTTTGAAAGAGCAAAATGCCATGCCGTCGTCTCAGTGCCTGCAAGATCCGCAAGTTTCCAGCCCCGATCGCTATCAAAGAGAGTGGTTAAAATGGTCAGACGTAAAATGTGGAGAGCATCGATTGTCTGAGCATTCGGACGTCATTGTGGTTGACCGTGCCAAATATGCCGGAAACATTGGTTGAAGCCTTAGTCTTGGTATTCCAATTGTAAGCTGGGTTTGGACGGAAAACATGCACGCTTAAATTAAAGCTCATCATGCACCAAACATGTAATTACACTTAAAGCATTTTAAAGCTAATCATCACCTTGTTGATCCCACCCTGGATGTTTGAAAGTGCGCGGGCGAAAGCCACTGAGGTTCCATATTGAGGCACATGCCGCTCCTTGGTGGAGTACAAGTCCTCTTCTTGACAAACAGCGACCACAAGCGCACTTCACCCTATCCAGTCTACACGCGTGGTTTTTTGAAGGAAGTGATGAGGGTGTCCATGGCTCGCAACTACCAGGCAGGTTGCACCCTAATTATAATTATAAGTAGAGGCATGTGTGTGTAAGTGTAAGTGTAAGTGCAAGGACAGGACGTGCAATAATGAAGAGCTTGCAGGTTCTCGACACTCCCACTTCTCATGCCCGCCACTTTTTCCCGAATGCGTAGCAAGGGTTCCCGTTTCACTCTGGGGGTCTGGGGGTTGAGGGTGTGTTCGCTCGACGTTGCGTTCACGGTCGCAACCGTCCGCAACCGTCCGCAACCGTTCGCAACCGTCCGTGTGAGGACCGTATGGCCGTGCCTATGGGAAGTTCTGCAGGAGGGATCATTTTTGGAGGTTTCAGACGTCTGGTTGCTTCGTTTCGCGTGGCAGGCATGGCACTTCGTGACATTCAGCAACGTTCTGTAACGTGTCGAAAGTCGTTTTGTGTGGCAGGCGCAATACTTTTGCGACGTTTTGCGAAGATGCGTGGCAGATTTCGTGGCAGGCGCAGCACTTTGGACGTGTCCATCGTCATTTTTCGTGGCAGGCGCAGCACTTTGGACGTGTCGTGTTGCGTGTTTTTTGCAAATCGCATTGGCAGGGCTGCGTCAAGTGGCGAGAAGTTGCAAATTCCGTGGCAGTCGTGGCATTTTGATGTGCTGAAAATTGACGGAAGCCTCGCACGAAACATCGATTTTGAGGTTGCAAAATTTAGAGGTTCCTAAGAAAACTCGTAGGAAAACGTCGATTTTGAAGCTACAAAGTGTGAAAATTGAAGTCTCGCACGAAATGCTCGTTTTGGTGCTCCCACATGTCTTGTCTCGGGTCACTGGTTTTCTGGTGGCTTAGCCGTGTCTATGGGGGAAGCTGCAAAACATGTCCTTTCGGCATGTTTCAAACTGTGAAAATTGGAGGAAGTCTCGCACGAAATGCTCGTTTTGGTGCTCCCACGTCACTCGTCTCAAGTCTCTGGTTTTCCTGTGGCTTCGCCGTGTCTATGGGGGAAGCCGCAAAACCTCTCCTTTTCAAAGGTTTCCAAGCAGGTTGTCATGTCGTTTTGCGTGGCAGGCGGGCACGGGGGTCGCATTTGCCCCTAAACCATCTTGGGTCGCATTTGCCCCTAAATGAAGGGGGATGAAGTGGGTTTAGGGGCGAATGTGACCCTCGTTTAGGGGCGAATGTGACCCCTGCTTTTGCGTGGCAGGCGCAATAGTTTCAGAGCCTCAAAAGGATTTTTTCCACCCTAGAGCGTGATATTCACGTGTTTTTCTACGTTCCAACAGCCATTTCAATCAACTTCCAGGACACTATGCATGCTATGGTGTTCCATTGCTACGTTGTAACATCCATTTCGTGCAACTTCCAAGACGCTTTGGATGTTACCTTCCAAGAGACATTTCAATCAACTTCTAGGACACTATGGATGCTACGTTGTACCATCTAGTTCGAGCAACTTGGAAGACGCCTCGGATGCTACGTTCCAACAGCCAGTTCAATCAACTTCCAGGACACTATCATGCTACGGTGTACCATTCCTACGTTGTAACATCCATCTCGAGCAACTTCGAAGACGTTAAACCCTAAAGGGTTGAGTAACATGTGGAATAGAGAGACAAGTCAACATATGCCCCCATGTCCCCCCCTAAACCCGAGTCCCCCTAAATGTCCCCTTGTCCCCAGGTTAAACCCTAAAGGGTTGAGTAACATATGGAATAGAGAGACAAGTCAACATATGCCCCCATGTCCCCCCGTAAACCCCAGTCCCCCTAAAAGTCTCCTTGTCCCCAGGTTAAACCCTAAAGGGTTGAGTAACATATGGAATAGAGAGACAAGTCAACATATGCCCCCATGTCCCCCCCTAAACCCCAGTCCCCCTAAAAGTCCCCTTGTCCCCAGGTTAAACCCTAAAGGGTTGAGTAACATATTTAAATTATTGTTGTTTAGGGGCGAATGTGACCCTCTTTTAGGGGCGAATGTGACCCCCGGGCACGGGGGTCGCATTTGCCCCTAAACCATCTTGGGTCGCATTTGCCCCTAAATGAAGGGGGATGAAGTGGGTTCAGGGGCGAATGTGACCCTCGTTCAGGGGCGAATGTGACCCCTGCTTTTGCGTGGCAGGCGCAATAGTTTCAGAGCCTCAAAAGGATTTTTTCCACCCTAGAGAGTGATATTCACGTGTTTTTCTACGTTCCAACAGCCATTTCAATCAACTTCCAGGACACTATGCATGCTACGGTGTTCCATTGCTACGTTGTACCATCCAGTTCGAGCAACTTCCAAGACGCTTTGGATGTTACCTTCCAAGAGACATTTCAATCAACCTATGGATGCTACGTTGTAAGATCCAGTTCGAGCAACTTGGAAGACACTTTGGATGCTACGTTCCAACAGCCATTTGAATCAATTTCCAGCACACTATGGATGCTACGTTGTAACATCCAGTTCGAGCAACTTGGAAGAAGCCTCGGATGCTACGTTCCAACAGCCATTTCAATCAACTTCCAGGACACTATGCATGCTACGGTGCACCATTGCTACGTTGTAACATCCATCTCGAGCAACTTCGAAGACGCTTTGGATGTTACCTTCCAAGGGACATTTCAATCAACTTCTAGGACACTATGAATGCTACGTTGTACCATCCAGTTCGAGCAACTTGGAAGACGCCTCGGATGCTACGTTCCAACAGCCATTTCAATCAACTTCCAGGACACTCTCATGCTACGGTGTACCATTCCTACGTTGTAACATCCATCTCGAGCAACTTCGAAGACGCTTTGGATGTTACCTTCCAAGAGACATTTCAATCAACTTCTAGGACACTATGGATGCTACGTTGTACTATCCAGTTCGAGCAACTTGGAAGACGCCTCGGATGCTACGTTCCAACAGCCATTTCAATCAACTTCCAGGACACTATCATGCTACGGTGTACCATTCCTACGTTGTAACATCCATCTCGAGCAACTTCGAAGACGCTTTGGATGTTACCTTCCAAGAGCCATTTCAATCAACTTCTAGGACACTATGGATGCGACGTTGTAAGATCCATTTCGAGCAACTTGGAAGACACTTTGGATGCTACGTTCCAACAGCCATTTGAATCAACTTCCAGTACACTATGGATGCTACGTTGTAACATCCAGTTCGAGCAACTTGGAAGAAGCCTCGGATGCTACGTTCCAACAGCCATTTCAATCAACTTCCAGGACGCTATGCATGCTACGGTGCACCATTGCTACGTTGTAACATCCATCTCGAGCAACTTCGAAGACGCTTTGGATGTTACCTTCCAAGAGCCATTTCAATCAACTTCTAGGACACTATGGATGCGACGTTGTAAGATCCATTTCGAGCAACTTGGAAGACACTTTGGATGCTACGTTCCAACAGCCATTTGAATCAACTAGCAGCACGCTATGGATGCTACGTTGTAACATCCAGTTTGAGCAACTTGGAAGACGCCTCGGATACTACGTTCCAACAGCCATTTGAATCAACTTCCAGGACACTCTGGATGCTACGGTGTACCATTGCTACGTTGTAACATCCATCTCGAGCAACTTCGAAGACGCTTTGGATGTTACCTTCCAAGAGCCAAGTCAACATATGCCCCCATGTCCCCCCCTAAACCCGAGTCCCCCTAAATGTCCCCTTGTCCCCAGGTTAAACCCTAAAGGGTTTTTTTTTGAGGTAAACATATGGAAAATATTTTTCTTTGAGAGAGACAAGTCAACATATGCCCCCATGTCCCCCCCTAAACCCGAGTCCCCCTAAATGTCCCCTTGTCCCCAGGTTCAACCCTAAAGGGTTGAGTAAAATATGGAATAGAGAGACAAGTCAACATATGCCCCCATGTCCCCCCCTAAACCCCAGTCCCCCTAAATGTCCCCTTGTCCCCAGGTAAAACCCTAAAGGGTTGAGTAACATATGGAATAGAGAGACAAGTCAACATATGCCCCCATGTCCCCCCCTAAACCCCAGTCCCCCTAAATGTCCCCTTGTCCCCAGGTTAAACCCTAAAGGGTTGAGTAACATATGGAATAGAGAGACAAGTCAACATATGCCCCCATGTCCTCCCCTAAACCCCAGTCCCCCTAAATGTCCCCTTGTCCCCAGGTTAAACCCTAAAGGGTTGAGGAACATATTTAAATTATTGTTGTTTAGGGGCGAATGTGACCCCTTTTGGTTTAGGGGCGAATGTGACCCTCTTTTAGGGGCGAATGTGACCCCCGTCCCTGACCCCCGTCCCGGTTTGAAAGTTCCACCTATCACTTGCGAGGAGCAGAGGCACATCGACGAAGCTCCAAAGCGTATAAGTCAGGCTGCACAGGCCAGCCTCCAAATTAGTGGGGTTTACAGAATATACCGATCGTAAGGAGGGCATGATGATGGGATGACCGTAACTGTAACCCATGTACCATGTAACTTGACCATGGCAGACATGTTGGCTGATTCATGGTCTTAGATACCTTTGGATTAGTTGAAAGCACCAATCAGTCGAGTGTGGCTTTGTGATTATTGGGACGGTGCAAAACTGGACTTAGGGCAGTTGGGGGCAAGGGGGGCAAGGGACGCAGGGGACGGAGGGGTCATAAGGGGCGCAAAGGGCGGCTATTTTCTTTTGGAACTTTAGACATGCTTTGACAATTCTTACCCTCTGGTAAACTAACATAACTATTATGGAAAATCACCATTTTTAATGGGTAAATCCACTATAAATAGCAATTTTCAATAGCTATGTAACAAATTACCAGAGGGTAACCATCATTGAAGATTTTTGGGTCCCAGAACTTTGACTACCTGGTGATCTGAGTGGAACATAGTGGAACTACTTTCCAGATCCTGCGGGGTGCAGTGCCAAACGCCTCATGGGTGATCACCGATTCACGACCGAAGTCAGACATTTGAACACGACAGGTGTGGCTGGAAAAATCACTTGACAAGAGATGAAACAAACACATTGGTTGAATTATTCAGTGACTTGTTTGTTGGTAGTTGTGATTTAAAACCTAATTTGAGTATTTCCAATGGTTCAAAACATCACTTCAGGATTTTCCTGTTGAGGGCATACAGGTGTATACGGTATAATATTACACAATTTTCAGATAATAATGATGTCCCATTTTGGGACCCATGGACCATCATGGACCCGGCCGAAGCCAGGCGAATCTCCTTCCGTTTCTTTTGCACAACCTCGACACGGGCGAAACCACCATCCTCGAAGAGGAGTGGAATACGTGCCTCTATGGCCATGGATCAAAGACCAGCCTTGGCTTCAGTGTTTACCACATTATGGGTATACCATGGTACACCCAAATCAGACGGTTTATCACGGTTTATCATCATTTTCACATATTTTCACCATGAAAGAACGCATTTCCATTTGGATCATTTGAGGTATGCCCAATTTAAAGACAGACCCTTACCATTGGTCGCTTTCCTGTGCGCTTTGCAGGTACTTGGTCGAGCGTGGCGCTCCGCCCAACTCGACATTGGGGCATAACCCTGAATGCAAGCTGGACGGGGCTGACAGATGCTGACAGGTAAATCTCAAGGGCTGACAGTTGGAGGGAACATCAAAGGGAAACGATGGTTTCTAACACCAATCGAGTCTTCCCGTGAAAATTATCCCTTCAACCAATTCTGGGATGGTAGGAACTCAGGTCATGGCCCACTGATATCCCACTGATTTTGGAGCTTTCGATTCTCAGAAACACCTCTAGTAACTAGTAACCGCAGTGTGTAACCACCATGTAATGCGTAATGGCGTTGTTGATTTTATCATATGTTATCCATCTTCCAGAAAATATTAAAATCGCACATCAATTGGTGGATGATTTGGATTCTCCCCAAGTCTTGGGGCGCAGGAGGCAGCGACCGCGGCTGTCGCTATGCACAAGGCCGAAGGCGCCGCTGCTCTCAGTGGCAGCCACTGGCTGGAAGGGCGACAACGTCAGCAGCCCAGTGACCTTTCCATGCGGGCATGGCACGGTGGACGGTTGGGAATGAAGCAACGAAATTGGGGCTTCAGCTGCAACTTCTGGAAACTTCGGATTTTGATCAGCAATGATCGATACTGTCGTCGATACTGGTTGATAAGGCTCATACCAGTATCATATCTAAATAGATCTTAGATGATCTTAGCATCACTCTGGATGATTAAAATCTGGTGAAACCTCCGAAACGATCAGTGACGGCAGCATAAAAACATTGGCACGATGATGCACGATGGCTTGAGGTGAGGCCCTTCGTGCACTGGGAAAGGCTGGAAGCTCGTGAAATTCATGGTGTGGATAGAAGCCTCAGATACCCTCTGGTAAACTAACATAGCTATAGAAAATCCACTATAAATGGCCATTTTCAATAGCTATGTGAAATTACCAGAGGGTATCAGAGACAGTGTGAAATCGCATCGCTCGATTTTCGTTTGTCCTGAAGAGAGGCTTCTCCAAGATTTGACACATGCCTTTTTGATTGGCTTTCCTTGCGCCAACCAGGAACATGTAGAATGTATATATATATATTATATGTATATATATATATATATTTGGCAAGCCCAAGCATAAACCCCAAGTTGAGCCTTTTTGTATGCAGGCATGCTTGCAATGAACCACCTCCAATTAGAGGTTCATCCCATGGCCAAGGTTTGACTGACTCAGCCTGGCCAATGGCCATGGCTGCATTTCTCACGTCCGGCGCTTGCGTAGCATTGGCTAGTGATTCGCCATGGCTAGTCATTGAGGTTCGTCCAAGGGGTCCGCTCCATTTCTCAGTGAAACGAAAACTCATATTTTGATTACTTTGGGGGAGTGATGGTTTTGACCCATAGCAATTTGGATTGTAGCTCCATCCTGGGATTTCAATGGAGTCTACACATGTTTATCCTTGTTTGATGCCATGGTTCTCTGTCACAAATTTCTTTCTTTGATGCGCTAAATAGACAGCTAATGATTGCTGGCTGGTTTGGGTCCAAGAGGATTCCTTTCCTGTGAGCATTTTCACCCAAGAAGTATCCCAAGGATCCCAAGGTAGTGGCCTGAAGCATCCACCATCGTATAACCTTGACCCAAACCATCGTACAGATGCACAGTTTCACTTGGCCTTTCGAAAGGCTTTTTGCAGGTCAGAGGGGCTCCCCATGCCTCTCCATGTACAGCTCAGTGGCAAAATTGGCGCAGCGATTGGGCGGATGCCAAGGTCATGGTCCGAATGATCATGCAGATGATAGCCAATTGGCACACAATGGAGTTTCATTTCCATGAACTCCATCCCTTAAAACAAATGAGGTTGCAGTGCAATCACAATCCAAAAATCCCTACTCTTCGGAGTGTGGATGAAAGCATCCTATAGGTCCTATAGATCCTATGTCATCCTCATAAACCAGTGAACACACCAGTGCTCTCTATATTGTATTCACCTCAATTGAGCCGGTCCATATTCCCCTACTATGCTTTTGTGACCCCAAATTAGCTCGTTTCGTTTTGTGCGTTGGTGTGCGAACGGTTCAAAACTGATTTCGTCAGTTGGAGTTCCTTGATAGATGTCTTCTACCAATTTCAGGCTGGCAATGTACTTATATATTTTGTTGTTGCACAATCGTATCGCAGTATCGCATGTACTGTGTATATACGTAGTTTTCACCTTTGACTGTGGCATGGCTCAAGTAAAATATGCATTGCAGAGTGTAGCTGGATTTGTGGTAAATATAGGCTGTTTACCCGTTTCAATACATTTCATTTTTGCATGTTTTGGCAAAAGGCCACCGACACAAGTAGCCTGTATTTATTTACACGTTTCGAGTTTCGAGCTCTTATTTCTTTTCATTCTTGTTGATCTAGAATCTAATTTTGATTCCTTAAACCCCTTACCCTGTCTGCGACAAGCACAACATTTTCACTGGTCCAGTGTAGTTCCCCCTTTCATTTTTCTGACTCAGCAAGACCACGAACGGTTGCAAACACAACAGTTGCTCTAAGCCTTTAGGCATCGTTTGCCATGCTATGGTAGCCAACGTGCTGCCATGCTCGGAGTAAAACTCATGGATGACATCAAGGGCGAAAGGCCGGAACCCCAGCTTCAGCAGTCTGAGAAAAGAATGGCATGGAAACAATACTGGCATGGATGGATAGATCAATTTGACGTAGATAGACAGATAGGTAGATGGGTAGACAGATAGGTAGATAGATAGAGACATATATAGAGATATTCTATGGACACCAGTGTGCAATAGAGATAAAAAAAGGAGCAACAACACTAATATAGATTAGCAGCTGGGAGGCTGATAGTGGAGAAGGTGTGCATGCCCCTTGCTGTTTTGAAGATCAACGGCAATAGAAATTGTTTTTCTTTCAGCACCAGATCTTGCCCGAGACTCCGTTCACCAGGTCCTCTTGCCCTCCTGAGTCTGGCTCCGACTCTGGCTCAGCAACTGTTTGGGGCCACAGTTCTCTGCCGCTGAAAAAAACGCCTTGTGTCATGAGCACACAAGGGGTGACGTGGTGACACGGTCATGGCTGGAGCCCTTTGCCAGTGAGGGAAACTTGAAACAATCCCAAGAAGGGGGGTCTTGTAAATGTCTCTAATTTTTTTTGGGTATCATTTAGTAGGCATGCTCCTACAACACCAAATTTTCAATATTTCCCGGGGTCCATAGCCATGCGAGGCTGGCATTTATTCTGGGTTGAGAGGTACTTAAATCAAAACACGGTAGCTGCTTCGCCAATTCAATCGTTCTTCAACCCCCATCATCAAACCGTGTTCCCTTTATGAAATGAATAAGCATTGATAGCCCCGTCCTGTAATCGTAGTTGATGTTCTGCAGCTGGCAGCTCTTTGTCTTGCTCAGGCCTGGAGTACTGACCACTCTGCCATCCGAGGAACTTGTGGACATTGACTGTTTGGAGGTCAGGTTAATTCTTCTTTGCAGTTGGGGGCGGCCCCCTGATCGCAGATACAGCTTCTTATGACTGGAGGCAAGGAATCGCTCCTGGTTATAACTTGATTCATAAGTGATAGGTATCCCTTATTGCACCAGGACGCGAAGGTACCCACTTCATCCCGCTTGCCTCAGGATGCATGTGTACTTTCCTGGCCCTTTGATCCAACATGCAGAGGTCTCGCCCTCTGGCCAGGTGCGCAGTTTACACGTGGACTGGGCGAACATCAGGCCCTTTGACCGTTGGCCGCTGGAGGACGCAGTTGAACCGATTTGAACCCGGGATGCATGCGATTCGGAAGGGGTTGAATATCGGCTGGCAGGCGGCGGGTGTTGCAGTTTGATGCTATTTGGCAGGCCGAAGACACAGACAGAGCCAGTCATGTTTTATTAGAAACCGTTTCAAGTGACGGCCATTGCCATTTCCTAGCTTTGATCCGCAAGGCTCCGCAGCCCCAGCTACTTTTGCAGTCGGTTACTTAAGGGCCATTGGACGTTGCAGTGGGTTTTGTTCTCACACGCCTGACATGACAGTGGCTGCTGGCACATGTCTGCCAACGACAACGAAGCTGAAATGTCAGAATGGGAGAGGAAGAAACACAACATGCGACCAAACCAGACTCATGAAAACTGAGTCACTAGAAGGGTCTACTGATTGCTGATGCACCGTGAGAATGTTTCATGCATTTCATCCGACCCTTTGAGCTAGCACATATAGATGAAAATAATATGGGAGGGATTGATGTGGAAACTTGGCCCTTGATATTTTTCTTTCACTCTCAGAAAAGTCTGCTGCATGGGCTTTCCCGCATGTGGTTCGCGAGCGCATCTAAGCTCAGGCGTAGTTTCCATGTTGAGCATCATTGAAGTACTCAACCTGGCAATCTTGGGCAGACTTTGGACAGCAGGGCAGCTTTACACTTGATGCATGCATGAACACCCTAAAATCGTGGGTACGGATCCAAATTAAAGCACCAGAGGACCACACATTGATCTCTACTGTAGCGTTCTAACCATCCAACTTTAGGGGTGCCAAGGTTTTTTCTCCAACCCCTTTTTCGACAGATGATCTCAAGTAGAGCCAACGGGACTTACACTCTTGGACGCTTCAGAGTGTTGCTGCAATGATCCTTGGTGCGATGGCCCTGCAGCTCAACGAGCATCCTGTGGTCTAGATGGACAAAAGCGGGCCTGGAAGCAGCAAGCGCCATGGCCAGTGCGTTTGACTTCAGTTGAACCCCATGCCCCCACATATAAACATATATAAACTACCTGGGTTTGTTTAGGCTTATGTTTTATTTTCCAAATGGAAAATCCACATAAATCCACCATTTGGGGAATCTAGAATGAATATATTTGTATTTTTGGGAGACCCCTTAAGCAAATCCAAGAATACCTAACTCAAACCTCTGGTCTCATTGGGGGCGGCGATGGGATTGTTTGGTTCGGGTGAAGACATGGCAAATCATGGCAACATTGAAGGCCATCCCAAAAAACCGTTGGATTGTTTGCAAGATTTTTAAGTATAATATAAATATAAATCATCCATTGTTGGTGCCGAACATTTGTTGATCCTCAAATTGGATGATTTTGTTCAACACCGAACATTGCCAAAAATGGCTAATGTTTGATTCGATTGGCATACCATTGTGCATCGCAAGCAGTGGCCCCGTGGCCAAATTCAGTGAAACTCTCTTGGCTGAACGAGAGAGCTAAGGCCGAAAAAAAAAGACCATGCTTCAAAAGCAAACGAGAAGCCCAAGGACAAGCCCCACAAGACTGACAAAAAGGAGAAACATAAAAAGCCAAAGAACAACAAAGAACACAAGAAGGACTCTGTCTCGGGGCGTGGAATGTTGAACTGCCAGGGCTGACCACACGCGTGGCTTACTTGCAATGCGCTTATCCCTTGAAATTTCGGTATGATATACATATATGTATGTGATTATATATATATATAGATATATGCACTGAGCCACTGAGCCATAGAAATGTTTGTGTTGGACCTGGTGGATGTTGGGATTCTGCAGGAGAAAAAAGAGAAGAAACGAAAACATGATGAGAATGTACTCGCCAAAGAAGGCTGGATCATTCATGTCCAGAGCTTCCACGTTAGATCTTTACTCTATGACCCCCTGTTCTTAAATGAAGTTATATAAATGATCTTAAATGTACGTGGATATCAGGTAGTGGTCAAACTTGGGGACCCCAAAATGTCCACAATCGGGTTGGCGGCATGCATCAGAATAGTTTCTTCAAGTCAACATATCCACATATACACACACAATAGAGGATCACACACACACAAATATGTATAAATATATGTATACTGTATATATATATTATACAGTATGTATGTATTCTATTGTATGTGCATATGCATGTATATGAATGACAGTAGAATCCCAGAACCCTGCTTTAGTATGGGTTCACGAATTGCCAAAATCTGAGGAACCCCCTGACGTCCCAGGCGATGTGAGCGAGGATGAGTTGCCTCCTCGAGACGACGCTTCGGAGGGAGGTGAGCTGGGCAAAGATTGGCAAATGGACGAGAGGTAAGTAATGGGTGATTTATGGTATTTTTTTCATATTTTTTTTGCACTATCAGTGGGGAAATGCAATATCCAGCTAAAGATGTGGTGGAAAAGAGACGAGTTCTATGCATTTCTCCTTTTGCAAGGGATCCAGGGCTAGCCAAGTGGCAGTAATGCGCCTTGTGGCGGTTTCTACTATTTTCATCTATTTTCTACTTCCAACCCTGCCAGGGATTATCATTCCCAATGATCAGTGACTCATATGGCTATGGATCAATACCTATTAATACCATTTTTAGGGGGATGAACATCCATTTACCAGCTATTTTGATGTTCACCAGGGGTACAAGGTTTTGACACACTGCCATATATCTTTCAAATTCTTTTCACAGCTCAGATTCCCAATATTCCCAGCGATTTCTTGACATATGTGTGGAAACTGGCACATAACTGTGGATGATCGATCCCGATTACTTTATATAATTTGATGGTGGTCACGGTAGCAAACTATAAATTTTATAAATGATTGCCCAATGGTATCACTCTGAACATTCATATCTCTGCCAACCGCAACGCTGTCGCGCCGCAGGCGAAGAGGCAGATCTTTGGAATTCCATTGGAACTGTCATGGACACTGCCCCTGAAGAACGCAAGCTGGACGTCACGGTCGGAGGAACCCCGGAGCCACAGGCCTTGCGCTTCGTTGGGATGGGTTGCAAGCAGTAGCTCCGTGGTACAGAAAGGGCATGTCCAAGTCTGCTTAGGTCTAGCCTCACTGTTTGGAGTAGAACATTACATGTTTTTTTCCTTAACACTAAATACATCCATAGATTAGAAGTTATAAGAAAATGAATGAACAAATTATAAATAAATAAATGCACAGCTACAGTAAATAATTTATAAATATGTATATATACATGTACATGAATAGATATCAAGAGACATATTTTATCTCTTCAAAAAGCATTCAGTAACCTACACATGTTTTTTAAATCCCATGGCGTTACCACATTTGAAACATCCAAAGACTCCAGCTTGGGTGCGTGGTCCAGGGGAAGCAGCCGCCCACGCCCGTGGAGGATCACGTGATTCAGGCCATTGTGGGTCTGTCCAAAGCCACTGAATGGGGGGAACAATGCATCAAACCGGGATCAATGCCACATCCTTCGTAGCCGTCTGGGAGATGCACGATGGTGTTTCTTTTGACTTGCCACGCTGCCGGCAGGTTCCTGCTGACATCATGGACCGCGTGGCTGACAAACTGCCGGCTGTGGGGAACATGGTCAAGACAGCAATGCTGGTGATGAAAGGCAGCACTGTGCATATTTCAGGCGCATCCGAATGGTTGGAGAGATTTACAGTGTACGCAGGTCGGGTATAAGGAAGATCCTTTTGGGATTTTGCGGGTATATTTTTTTCAAGCCACCAATGTATATGTTTATATGTACCTAAAGTGTGCCATATAATATATTTCTATTCTTTTTGGAGCTAACTTCCATGATCCCAGCTGGGTGGGGCTCAGCTGCAGGCCCGCTGGAAGCCAAGCTTCGTGCGAGCCAGGGCCTTGCAGCCGTTCTGGACAATCGAGTCGCGGAAGGCACGGTGGGTGGGATCTCCAGTAGCGGTTTTCCTTTATGGTTGCTCCCCTCACAACAGGATGGCTATGTGAGGTTCAAATCCTGAAATAGCGGCCAAATGATTTGTCAATCTTGTTCTGGCGTATCATATTCCAGTTCTAAGGGTTCTAAGCGGGAATGCAAGTGAAGTACTAACCTACTAAGAGGATCATGCCCCAAGGCATGGTAGATTGCAGCTGTCAAACCCTCTTGATTGCTGTTTCAGGAGTTCCAGATGTCACCACCGTGCACGTGTTGCCTGAGTGGGTGGACACTTGGGATGGATGCAAGGCGCTTGAGGATGAGTTACTGGATGGCATTGCGTGGCTCCCCACATCGACTTGCCCAAGAATCTGTAGAATTGTTCTTCTGGAAGCTCCAATGAAGGGTCCTAAAATGTTTTGAAGCAACAGAAGGGGCCCATGTGCAGATCCTGAGGCTACAAGTCCTTATCGTTTTCGAGAGGCTTCGCGGACAATCTGCTTTTTCCCATGGGCACCTTGCAGGCTTGCCATACAAACAGATGAACTCTGAAGGCGCGGTGAGTTGTGTCAAATTGATTCAAATTGTGTCAACTGTCCTCTTGAGAAGGATGGGCCAACAAGAATCCAATCATAAGTGGCTGTGCCATGACCATGATTCCCTTTTTCCCGTGCTGTGTCCAGCCGATGATAGCGGATGATGATGATGATGATGATGATGATGATCATGATCATTATTATTATTATCATGATAGTGATGATGAGGAGGAGGATGAGGAGGATGAGGATGAGGATGAGGATGACGATTGTGAATCAAACCGCACCTCTGGCTAGTACATGTTAATGCGGCTGGCGAAACCCCAATGAACCCAAGGCATCCTAAAGCAAGAAGTGCTTCAAAGTGTCTACCAAACAACCGTCCAAATCAAGCTAGTAGTCATACTAGTACTAGCATGGGTAGCAATTGAACATGACATGCGGCTGGTGCTTCCCATGTAGCCTTCAAACAGCAATTTCAATCATGCAAAGCCAGCAGCCTTCTTGTGTTAGCTACTCCATTTCTTGCGAAGGTTGATTTCAACTGGAGCTTTGAACCTCCATAGCCCTTCAAGCGGAAAGGAACTCAATTTCGATCCGGAGGGACCCCTACAGTACAATTTCGACATGGCTGATGAAACACATGCAGAGCTGTAAGAGATTTCCCGCTTTTAACACCAGCCCCAAGCCAAAGCCATCCAAGTAACCCCAATATACCCCAACAATCCCCACCACATACAAACACCATCAAACACCTAGATTCCCATCACTAATCATAGATACCTATCTACATTCTTCTCTATGCGTGTACCTGAAAATTGGGGTATGCCTTAAATGATTGCCATTTTCGTGGGGTGTCGTGACAATTCACCACAGGATTTTAAGGGATACCCAATTTACTTACCAAAACCCGGGTCCACAACTTCTGTCCCAGTCTGTCCCAGGCCAAGAATTTGAAAAGTACCAGCCGGTGATCGCCCCCCAGCTGCACAATGGCCGCATCGCATGCGGTGGAAAAATTTTCGCCCCGTCCTGAGGTCAAGAAGATATCACCCGGAGGTACCCGAGTCCAAGTGACGTGGTGTTTTGTCGCCTGCCAGAAATGGATGGCTAAGGTATTAACCATATTTAGCCATGGATATTTCATGATATTTCCCATTAACAATATACTAAGCATCAACAGTATTAACTACTATAATCCCATGGGTGAAAGCATGTGGAAACCCACGAACTGGCAGTGCTGATGATGCTGCCTTAGGTTTTGCTGTTGCCTGCCTAGCATGCCTCCGTTCCATTCTTCCCCTCAGGACGGCTTGCTGAAAGACGAGGATTCCTCCAAACTGCAAGCGGCAGTCCGAGTGAGCATCATGGGCACGCCGAATCCTCATTGGCTCGTCCAAGATGAATTTTTATGAAAAGAGATTCAATGTGGGTGTGTCTGAAAATGGGGTATACCCACAGTTTAAATTCATTTAGATATGTAAACGCAGACAATGATGGCATACACACACAGATATACATACATACATACATACATACATACATACATACATACATACATACATACATAGATACATACATACATAGATACATAGATACATACATACATAGATACATAGATACATACATAGATACATAGATACATAGATACGATACATAGATACATACATAGATACATAGATACATAGATACATAGATACATAGATACATAGATACATAGATACATAGATACATAGATACATACATAGATACATACATAGATACATACATAGATACATACATAGATACATACATAGATACATAGATAGATACATAGATAGATACATAGATACATAGATACATAGATACATAGATACATAGATAGATACATAGATACATAGATACATCGATGCATCGATGCATAGATGCATAGATGCATAGATGCACAGATGCATAGATGCATAGATGCATAGATGCATAGATGCATAGATGCATCCATGCATGCATGCATGCATGCATGCATCCATCCATCCACCCACCCATCCATCCATCCATCCATCCATCCATCCATACATACATACATACATACATACATACATACATACATACACACACACAGACAGACATACAGACAGACCATACCATACCATACCATAACCATAACCATAACCATAACCATAACCATTACCATTACCATACCATACCATACCATACCATACCATACATACATATCATACATACCATACATACAATACAATACAGTAGAATAGAATACAATACAGTACAGTACAATACAATACAATACAATACATACAGACAGACAGACATACATACATACGTATATGTATATATATATATATCTATTTATATGCATCGTCATATATCGGGTTCCCCTTATCTTTCAAACACACCCACAGGGTTACTATTTTAACCATATACTCACAACATTTTTTTTTGTTTTACCCTAAACGTTTAGGTGCCAAACCAAGCCTTAAGGCAGCAAAGCAGGGCGAAAGCAGTGCTGCGAATCCTGATGAGTGCAGATCAGGGCGTGCTTGGAAAGCAACTTCACCATCCCTTCCCCCTGATGGGATATGAATGGGATATCAATGGGATATTACAGCACCCAAAATTATGGAAAAGTGTTCCCAAGATGTTGTAGATGAAACTTACTTCATATTTCCAGGCTTCATAGGTCCAGGTTTCTCACTTTTCCATCTATTTTGGAGTTGCTATAATCAGATATTCATGGGGATAAATGGGAATCTATAGCCAACATTAGCCAACAATATATGATACAATGGGAAGATTCAACACCCCCCAGAAACCATGGTCGCCATGGTCATTGATGGAGGATTTACAAATATTTGGGACCACAATGGGGCTGTGGAAAGTATGACCGTGAGATGATCGGATCGGATGGGATGATTGGTGGTCTCGGAGAGAATGAGAGAGGGGTTTCTAAGAAAGGATATCTACTGATCTACCGGTAAATCCATCCAATATAACAATCAAATCCATCCAAATCCATCCAAATCCGTCATTTCCTTGACTCTAAATTCATTAGACTAAGAACTTGAAACCCTGTGCTCTGGGGTTCTGTTCCATTTTGCACTTGCATGAGGCTTTGTAATTTGCTTGTAGGCGTTGGTATTTCCGAACATTTGACAACTGGATATTACAACTGGTTATTGAATGTTATTGCTATACCGGCTATACCGGTCAATATACCATGTACTTACTCTAACAATAACATAAACTTCTTGTTGATGGGTTACTGCTCGGTTATGCCATGTCACACCCCACTTTCTAAACATCAATCCTACCCTTTGGTTATGAAATATGGCTCGTTGAACACACGCACACACACACACTATATATATATACATACGTTATCATATTTTTATGTTTTTCCCAGCTATAAGGGCAAGCATATCACATCGCATGTTGTTGGTTATAAATTCCCAAAATCTCACCAGTCAATCAAGTCATATCCCATTAAATCATTTTTTGAAGGAATATCCCATTCAATCCCTATGGCAAAACAATGCCCTATGGCACCATCACCAAGGCGCAGGGACTCCTGGCCTCCCAACTGGAGGCTCTGGAAAAGGCGGGTGACGTCTTTGGTTGTGATGGTGGCCCTGGAAGTTATGGCCTGCAGAAGTTTGACATGATGGTGGACACTCCCCATGTCAGGAAGTTTATGCGGTTTCTTGGAGCTTGCTTTTTTTTTTTGATTGATTTGGACAACATACTTCATACTTTAGTTTTTTATTGGGAATGGTGTTTTGTACCAGTAAGATCGGGATATCACTGGCTGGTGGTTTGGCATACGAATGGTGTTGCCACCCCCACATTTATGTGGGCCGAAGATCGACATATACTTCGTATGTTTTGGATGGGTTGAAACTGTTGAAACGACCAAGCAGACGAACTTTGAGTATTGAGTATTGCTGTCGTGGGTTTTTGTATGCACACACCTTTGTATACGTATATGGTTTATACAGATGTATTTATCATAGAATTTCAATATACAGCTGGACTGTGCTGGTGGTTTATTTCTTTGTCCAGCGATCTGAGTTTCCTTGAGACAGTACGGTATATATACGTATATATACATATGATATATATATATATGCATATATGCATACCATGCGTGTGTATATTATATGTATATGTTGTAATATCCACTGGCATCAGTTGGTACAAAAACCCCCAACCAGGGCTAGGGATAGTGAGTCGTATAAATCGCAGAGCACCAGTGAAGGTAGATCATGTTGTGGCGGGATGTCTATGTCTTGCTCGACATCTGGATACAGAGAGTCGTATGGATGCCAGAGCACCAGTGAAGGTAGATCAGGTTGTCACTAGCTCAAGTGCATGGACATGGGGAGTGATGGAGATGAAGCTGACATTAGTGGGCGGAGCAATCGTCATGACCTTACTGCTACCCAACTGAGGCAAGGAGAATGGCCTGATGCTGCTGGAGAGGGCCATGAATTGCTTGACAGGGAAGCTTGGTGGGTGAAATTCGATGAAAGGATTCCTGCATGTTGCACGTGTTACCTCGGCAACGAGGGCTCTTTATTCTGCTTTGTTATATATTTCTTTGCACGTTTTCCTTCGTTCTCGTGCCATGGGCATGGGCACGGTATGATTTGAACAAGAGCTATGCGCTTCATGGGGACTTGTTTTTTTGTTTCTCCTCTTTTGAGGTCAAGCAGGTGAGCAAGTGCAGCATTTTGTGGGTCTACCAGCGCACCGTTGGAGTTACCACAAGCTATCAAAGCACCACACAGCAGCTCCTAGTCGTTGCTCAGCTGGCACTTGTTGGGGATGCGATCCTCCTAGTCATTCACACAATGTGAACTGACTTTTTACTAGCACTTCCACGGGAAACATACAATATTAATTTATTATGATATAATATATATATATATATTTATGCAGAAACACCCAGCCACACATCAGACTTCCTTCTCCAAGTCTTACACTCTGCTCTTCCTTTGCCTCTTCCCGTTCCCCTCGCCTTGGTGTTTCCCTTCGTTTCCCCTTCGTGTTCCCCTGCCTACCCCTTCCTTTTCCCTTCCTTTTCGCTTCCATTTCCCTTCCTCTGCCCCTCCGCTCCTCTTCTCTTTTTCACTCTCCACCCTCTTCCTCTCTCTCTCTCTCTTTTTCCCCTGCTTCCTTGTCGTGTGCGGTAAACGAATGAGACACCGCGCAGCAGTGAACGTTAGTTTAGAGTTTAGAGGCAGTCACATCAGACCCAGCATTTTACAAAACACTTTTTTGCTCCTCTGAAAATGCTAAAAGCTGCAAGGCTGTGGGAAGCAGGACCCAAAGGTGGATCGCAGCAGAACTGCTGAGGACAGACAGTCAGGAGATATGACAATGACTAGTGGCCCCTCAGCAGAACTACCAGTGTTCCTGCCAGTTGCCTAGAAGTTGATTGGTTTCAACGCCCATCCCCTAAAAAAAAGGCACAAATTCACACACGCACTCATTTCCACAATCCCCGCGAGAAAAGTACTGATAAGTACTGTGTGGTCCCGACAGTTCCTGAGGGTCACATCCTTGCCATCCCTGACATCGCAGGATGATGATCGTTTCGCTTGGGGCTGTGAGAACCGGCACTTGCCTAGGGGCTTTGCCCAGCAAGCTGGCCGAAGATTGCACCTTGCTGGTGGTCCCCCAACAGGCCCTGCCAAAATTCTTCGGAAAGCTTCGGACAAATTACAAGAAGCTGAGCCCTGGCCTGCAGAGTCGGGTTGGTATTTTGGTACCTGAAGATTTAGGGGAACATCATCTAAATCTGCCGGGTAAGACATCTTCCCCCAAAAATGGGATAAATTGGGGCTACACACTATTTTCAGACAATACATGGGGCAAGTCTCTTTTTGCGTGTGTTCAGTGGCATGGGATGGCGAGAAGATTGAGAAGGCAGCCTTTGATGTGGTGATGTTTCAGGATGGAGGACACCAACACCATTGTGATTCCAATCAGAGACCTAAAGGGTGCCTCAGATGCAACCAGAGCAGTTGAAACTTCGGAGGATCATCGCAATTGAAACTTTTGCAGTAGGGTGACCTTGCCCTATATAGATACTGAAGGTATTGCATCTCCATAAATGGTGCTTTGTTGCCCCAAGCCATCAGGCACCCACTTGCCTCCCTTTTCCAATCATCCAAGGTTCAGAGAAAGGGAAGGCATATGTCGGGGAAGTGGACAATTTCATGGAGACCATGTACAAGGCGCGAGCTGCCTGTGCTTTGCCAAGTTTGGTAGGTTGCGGCTAAAGTTTCAGCTAAAGGTCCCTTAAGGTCACGGATGTGAACTTCTGAAACCGGTGGGAGTTTTCCAGGCGGCGGCGGATGATGGCACGGAGTTCGCGATCTTTGGCAGCCCACTGGGACAAAAAGTGGCCATGGTCAAAACTCTCATCGAAATTGAGAGCATCCTGTTTGCAGACAGTGCTGGCGACCTCCCCAAGATCATGGCTTTTGATTGACGCTACAGTTCTCAGTGGATTTGCAGTGAAAGCAGAATTGAGAATCCACATCAACCAACTCAAACTCAACCATCAGGAAGTTTCCTCTTTCCCTCGCTTTGCCGAGGGAATGTGTCCAGTATATTCCAGTATTCCATACCCAGATAGCCCCTTTGATTGGCCATTGGTTGTCAATCAAATTGATCCACCCCAAGATTGGATGGCCATTATGACTTGAGACGCGATGAAAATTACAGGCCATTTCTGCCCCAATTTTGATACCTACGACATCCGACGACATTTTCGTGGTTCAACCGATCATCAACTGCCCACGATTAGCCGTGAGGAACAGTTCCTGGATATGCGATCCGCACATTTCCCCCCGAAGTGCCCCGGTTAACTCGCTGCGCGTTGCCCATTGGGAGTTGTGCTGCACAGAAATTACGGCTGGAAAGAACCGGAAATTCCGAGATTGTTGCCCCGGTAACGGTTACTGTAAAGCTACCTCGATATATTACCATAAATGGTTGGGATATGTTGGGATATGTTGGGATGGAAACCATGCTGAAATGCCAGGTTTGTGCCATTGGGTTACCACATTATGGAGCTTGCTTGCCGTTGTTACTAGAGGTTGCTAGCGAGTTGAGTGGGCCGTCACCATCCGTTACCGGCACCATCCGGCACCTCAGGAAAAGGTGGACGAATCGAAGTACACTGGACTTGACCGGGTGCGTTTGTCATACGATTTCCAGGACAGGCGGAAGAGGGCGGGAGTACATCGAGGCTTCAGGTTGTGCAAAAGCGGGGTTGGAGGCCCTTGGCAGTGGCCCACATGTAACAGGAAGATGCTAGCAACAAAAAAGCAGACTCTTGGCGCGCAATTGTTGTGCAGTGACATATAGCTCAGCTGTCTCGACCCTTCGAGCACAACTGCTTACAGTAGTTGTTTAAACAAAAATATATGTAAGTACTGTAAGTATACATGTCGCGTACACACACACACGCATATAATTGCTTATATATACATACACAGATACATAATGATATATATATATTATATAATAATGACATCAATTATAATGACATGACATATCAATGATTATATATATAAAGATATGTGTGTGTGTGTGAACCATCTGAAAAGATGTAAAACTTCTAACTTAGCAGGGGGCATGCGGCCATCATGCAAACGCATGCCAACGAAGCTATGCATGATGGTGGAAGCCGGGGCTGATCACCCTGGTGTACCTGCTTTACCATTTCAATGTTTTCAGCAATGGGACGTGGCTAACCCAAGAACCACCATGCCGTTTCCAAACAAATTGTTTTCTTTTCTCGTTTGCACAGTTTTCGCAATCTGAATTTCTGCCAACTTTGTCAGATGGAACAGTTGCATCTAGCAAGGACGTAGAAAGAATTCCTCTACACTGTCTCTCACGCCTAGTCATTCACTATTTCCTGTCAGGTTTAATTGGAGTGTTTTTTGCACGTCCGATGCATTCCACATCAGGAATTCGATAAGATATTTCTGAGCAAGTGTGTGACTCATGCCGGATCCGTCAAGGTGGTATGAGCCCTTCGGGGAAGCCTTTCTAGGCTAACTGTGGACAGTAAATCGATGTCTGAATTTACACTTTTGAATTAGCAATTCGTTTAAGTAAAGTGAACAGCCGGCCTTTTTTCCTTGTCTCACCCGTCGATGTCGTTGTGTTGAACTGCTGGCCGCTGTACTGGTCCTCACCCTTTTCCTTTTCTCATTTGTCGATGTCAATGTGTTGAACAACTGGCCGCAGTACTGGGCTTCAACTTTTTTCACCGTTCACTTTGCTCTGCATAGCTGGAAGCTGCGACAACATCACTCCTTTTTTGAGTGCTGCTCAAGAGACTGACCACATGTCCGACATGCTCACATGATCAGGCAAAAGGACATGCTTGCAGGTATGGTGCCTTTTTCTTTTTTTGGTCGTTGGTGAGGTTCAATTGTGCACCTAATTCAGGGGTTGAACACGTAAGCAGAGGGTTGTGACTTGAAAGCCGAGGGCCTTTGAGCCGAATGTTGCATGCGTTGTGGATGCATCATGTCATTAACTAGTTCCCCATGGGTCCCTATTTCATGTGTTCTTGCGTTCTCCTCTCTCCAGGTAGGTTTGGCCCGTTGCGTGCTGAGGTTGTTGTAGGTTTCGCCGTGTCAGGTTGGTTCAGGCGCTTCTGTCCTCCCCCTCCTCCGCTGGTCTTGTTCCGTTTTCCGTCGGCCTCCGCTTTTCTTTTCCCTTGCCTTTCCAGGGTTGCCCGTTCTGGGCTAGGTTTCATGTGTTGGTGTTTGCTCTTTCCCTCTTCTTTTGCGTTCCCCTCTTTGCGTCCTGCTTAAGTAACTTTCATCTCATTGTCATCTTCACCTCATCTTCATTTCCCTTCCTCTTCATTTTCATCTCATTGTCGGGACCTTAATGTCCCACCCTCCTGCGGGAGGGTGTGTGTGTGTGTGAACCATCTGAAAAGATGTAAAACTTCTAACTTAGCAGGGGGCATGCGGCCATCATGCAAACGCATGCCAACGAAGCTATGCATGATGGTGGAAGCCGGGGCTGATCACCCTGGTGTACCTGCTTTACCATTTCAATGTTTTCAGCAATGGGACGTGGCTAACCCAAGAACCACCATGCCGTTTCCAAACAAATTGTTTTCTTTTCTCGTTTGCACGGTTTTCGCAATCTGAATTTCTGCCAATTTTGTCAGATGGAACAGTTGCATCTAGCAAGGACGTAGAAAGAATTCCTCTACACTGTCTCTCACGCCTAGTCATTCACTATTTCCTGTCAGGTTTAATTGGAGTGTTTTTTGCACGTCCGATGCATTCCACATCAGGAATTCGACAAGATATTTCTGAGCAAGTGTGTGTGTGTGTGCCTATGCGTGTCTATACCATTTTCCAATTTCAACTGTGAAAAACAGTAACAGGAATGATCATCAATTGGCTGGGCCACCTGTATTGCCTTCAGATGCCTTCAGTTTCGCTGAATCCTTGGGATGGCGCTGGAGAGATGTTCATTTCTTTGAGAAAGATGGATCAACCAAAAAGCCTTAAAAACCATCGGCACAGTAGTGAGGACCCAGGCAGGACATACCCAGGCTGAAGCCACGAATGAGACGCCCAGGAAATTTTATCTTCAGCCTCGGGATGCCATGTGGAATGCTCGAATGATCTGCAACTTGGGCCAAGTAGCGCTACTGAAAGAAGTACGGTAGCCCATCTATGCGGATCTACCATCCTTCATTTGCTTGAAAACTATTTGTAAATTAAACATTACTCTGCAACTACACGCCACTCATCACAACTCATCTGAGCTACGAGTTTAAACGTTGTTCCATGGCCAAAAGACGGATTATAGGGGCGCTCATCAATCAGACCAATCCATAATTGATAGAGAGAGAGAGATATATATACACCCACTGTAAGGGTTCCAATTATGGGATGGATGACCATACCCCGAGCCCCATCGAGCGGAAGAGCCAGGCTTTTGCTGGTTGGGGGCTGCAAGGAGCGAGCACGCGCCAGAGACTATGCACGCTTGATGGCTGGAAAAACGTTTGGCAACTTGGCAGTTGATGTCTAGAAATGGTCAAGAGTCAATATATGCACGGAACATCATGGAACATCACACATCTTTCGTTTGTCTTCCGGGTGGAAACGCGAGGGAGTTTTCAACAGGCAAACCAACTGGTGGGTTAGAACAGGCTGATGCAGTTTCGGGGGCCGACTTGTTGATCTTGTTGGCCAGTGACGTCCAAGGTAAAAATCAAAACCAGTTTCCCAGTCTGGAGAATGCTGAAACGAGACCTGACATCCTTGGAATTTGGGTCAGCGATGCTGCCAGCAAATCCCGATGGTTCAAGGACAAGCTGAAAATCCTCATGGCAGACAGTGGCTGGTTGGTACTTTCGAAGATGTTTTGCTTTCATGGTTTCACCAAAAAGATGAACATGATGAACCCTCAGCAGCCTAGTTTTCACAAGGGTGGCCTCAGGCTCTGTTTTAAGGAAATCTGCATATATCTTCTCACCAAGTCTCAGACTCAATCAGGTGGTTTGTGTGCATTCTTTCTGGATAGCATGAACGAAAGTGGTGAGCGGCGCTTGTGCTTCGCTGGCCGAAAGCTAGAAGAAAACTGCCACGACGTGGAGAACAACGATGCCATCGCGCAGACATTGGAAAAGACGCGCGTGGCAGTGGACTTTGTCCTAGGCAAGGATAGGCGCAGACAAGCCGGTCCGGGGTGATTTTAGGATCCTCCATTCTCATCATGTGGGGTATGTAAGGATTGGAAAAATGAAACGGGCCAACCATCGGGTGGAAGCACATTGGGACTGCTTGGTGGATTCACGTCAAGACGTTACATTCCATTCCATCCCCCTACGACAATAGGATGATCCCAATTGACGTTCATTTTTATCGAGTCAATGCCCCCCCCCCGAAGACGACGAAATATAATCCCTTCCCCATAATACTAAACCGCCCCCCCATTATAATAAACACCCGGAGGAGTTTTTAGAATTAAGTGGCGTTTAGTACAGTATTAGGGTGCGAAGCTTCCCCCTAATATATACTAAGTTTAAAACTTTGACCAAAGAATACTAACGTTACGATCAACTCCCACCATTTGCCCCGCGTCTGGAAGAGTTCGACGGGATCATCATCATCATCATCATCATCATCATCATCATCATCATTGCAGCAACAACATACAATGTGGGACGTGGTGACTTACACGCACTCCCAGGTCACCCCACCCCACCCCATGTGAGCGTAGCATCAACATCTGTAGCATCAACATCGTGTGCAAGCCCGAAGGAACGCGTAGCGTAGCATCAACATCTTGTGAAGGTCGAAGGAACGCGGTTGAAGGAACGCTAGCATCCCCACCGCACCCCACCCCACCCCATGCGAGTGTAGCATCAACATCTGTAGACATCTTGTTCAAGGTCGAAGGAATGCGGTTGAAGGAACGTTAACATCCCCACCCCAGCCCACCCCATGCAAGTTGTGGGGCAAATGGTGGGCGTTGCGTCTAACGTTACCATTTCATTTTTTCCTTGTCTAAAATCTACTTAGAATATTGCCAAACAATGGATTTCCCCTAACACTAAATTTGAAACCCTATATAATTAAAAGACAAAACCATCTATTTCAAAATCAATTAAAATCATTTTCAAAATCTAATTAAGATATTGCCAAAAATTGAGTTCGAAGGTTTCCCTAAGATTAAATTGAACACCTTAATTAAAAAAATGTTCGGTTTCAAAATCGGTTAATTAAACTCATTTTCAAAATCTATAATGGGAGGGAGAGAGAGAGAGAAAAACATAAAAATAAAATATGGGCCAAAAATATGGATTTTGAAGGTTCCCCTAATACTAAATTAAAAACCTTATTTGAAAAACGAACAGTTTCTATTTCAAAGTCGATTAAATTCCTTTTCAAAATCAAATTAAGATATATTATTATATAAGATATTGCCAAAAAACTGATTGCGAAGGTTCCCCTAATTATTGAATTATAAACAGCATTATTTTTTGTTTTGTGAAAGGGCTTAAACATTTCGAATTTGAAGGGGACCCTAATAAAAGTACCACGGTATTGACTAGTTTTAATTATCAGGGGGTGAAACCCGCAAATGGGACATTCACTTTAAATTGTTCTATAAAGGGAGTCAATTAAAAATCAAATTGGCCAACTTCAAACTTCCCAAAATTGAAGACGGTCCTTAGTTTCAATATTTGGGGCACGTTTAGTAATAGGGGAAGGGCCAGTCCGACAATTTATAGATTATCAAGAGACTGGGTGGATGAACATTGCGCTCAAGTCAACAAAGTACATGAGTCAGACTCACAGATACACGCACATACACACATGCACACACACAGAGTATGCAGAGTCTGTGTGAAAAACGAGCTATTTCATTCACTTTCGGGCATCACAGCATCCCTCACGATAGGATTCCATGACACCGCAGGTCTGGGTCATCAGAGGCCTGGTGGTCGGAGTGGTCCTGGCAGCGAAAGAGGCAGTCAAAGGAATCGACTCAGGATGGGGATGGGGAATAAAAAGGCTGGGAGATCACTGGCCCATAGTGGCCCTAGAGCGGGTGCTAACCATAATATATGGTTCGGTCTTTGAAGGCCTGAAATATGTTCAATCACGAACAACTATATCAATGTAGAGTATGCCGATTCGATGAAAATAAGACATGGCATGTTTCAACATGTGTCCACATGTTTCAACCGGAGGATGAGCCCAATGAGAAAATGGCCAAGACGGACGCCAAGCCTGCTGAAGAAAAGTACTGGCAGAGGGAGCCACCAAAGATGCAGGAATTCGACAACTGGAAAAGCTGGAACTGGAACGATCAGAACACCGATGCGGCAGCTCACGATGGCACGAGAGAAACAACATCGTGGACGGATGAAAACAGCTCGTGGCAGAGTGGAGACGCAGATTGGTCCGCTTGGGAGGGTTGGAGCAGCTGGGAATGGTCCAAGGAGAAAGACAGAAACGCTCAACCTTCGACTCCCGCATCCTTTGGTCCACATGGCAACTCCGCCCCTCAGACCCCAGCGCCTTTGATGCACCACGCTGCACCCCAGACTCCTGCTTCTTTTGGACCTCATGGATCGGCAGCTCCTCAAACTCCCTTGCCGATTTCAGCTGGTACAAAGACTTTGGGTTGCCCTGCCAATTCGGTGCCGGGGCCTGCCACGCCGGCATTCCACAACGGCCATGTAGCCAACACCCCGCGGTCAAATGTGCCGGAGCCTGCCACACCAGCATTCCAAAAAAGCTCTCAGACACCACATGCAGCGCCAAATTCAACGCGTTCGGTCTCAGGACCTGTCACACCTGCAGTCCGCAAAAGCCACGTGCCAGAGCCTGCAACACCAGCATTCCACAAAGGCCATGCTTCCACCATACCACATTCGACTGTGCCAGAGCCTAACACACCTGCACAGGCGGCTAGATCGGTGGCAGAGCCCCACACACCGGCGTTCCGCAAAGGCCCCACGTCCAACACGCCCCGCTCGACCGTGCCAGAGCCCGCCACGCCTGCATTCCCCAAAAGCCATACGTCGAATGCGCCACATTCGAGGGTGCCAGAGCCGGCCACCCCTGCATGCCCCAAAGCCGCTAAAGCACCACCGGCCAACGCACTGGCAGCGCCAGATCAAGCCCTCAGGCTACAGGTGAGTGCCAACGTTCCAGGGCCTGCTACACCTGCAGCTCCTCAGTCAGCACCTGTTGGGTCAGCATTGGCCTCCGGCGTTCGGCCAGGACCAATCACACCTGCAATGCTGAGGGCACCACCTGCGATACTTGGCTGAAGCAACTGCATGGATCCAGTAGAACCAGGCGGCTACAGGTTGGGGCAGGACGAAAAATAGATTGCAGCACCTTGTGGGCACAACCACTTTCATTCACGCACATGTGCAGTCTTCGGGTGAAACTGCTTTCTGTATCTTTCTGTCTCAACACCAAAGCTAGGTGCAAAATGAGGTGGGGCTGCCTGAAAGATCTGAAAGAACGAGGTAGGATGCGGTAAGGTAGGAATTTGTATAAACATTGAGTGGCGTTGGAAATCGAATCCATGATCAAAAACTGAATGGAAGGGAAAACAAAGTAGGGGCCGCCTCACCTTTTTCAGCATTTCCCGCAAGTAATTTCCATTCCTCATATCACCTACACTCCACATACCTATCACATCCCCTCTACCAATATCCCAACAATATCATCAGGCCTGTCATTTTCTGCGGTGGTTTGTGGAAAACGATGGGGATCATGGGGTTTGTCTAAGGTAAGGAATAAGGAGCAATTCTGGCTCTGGCTTGCCTTTGAGTTGCAAAAGCACGGGTTTTGAAGCTGAACACCTCAGGTTGCAGGTCACAAGCTATGGGTTCATGTCACAAAATCACTGTTTTTCTTTTAGAAACTCGGGAGCCCCCGGGTTTTGCAGACCAGTGATTTACCCATGACGATTTGATCACAGGTTTGGCCCGCCAGGCATGAGATTGGACACGACTCTGCACTCCTCCTTGAAACATCTTGAACCACATTCAGCAAATCCAGGTACCCTATAAATTTGTCGGGCATGACAGCTCAGTAAGTTTGCGTGCATATCATATATACGCATATCAGGTATTATCATGTATTATTAGGTTATATGTATGTTTCATGATAACATATGATCGCAAGATCTAACACCATGGAGCAATGTTTTTTTGATCATCAGATCACGTTGGAAGCAAGGAATGCAGCCACCAGCGCAGCAACGGGAGGAGCAAGCGGCCAGACGAGCGATGAGCCAGAACTCCCTCCAGGATGGCAAAAGTGCCATGGCTTAGGGGGTCAAACAAGGCAAGAGCCATACCAGAAGCTGAGAAGTGACTGAGCGGAGGGTGGTAAGAGACTATAACAGATTGATAGACACACACACAAACATATATACTAGTATATATATATACATTATATATACTATAGTATATATATATATTATAGTCGATCTACAAGTCTATACATATACACCAATTATAAATGCCTACAATATATATATATACACTACAATATATATATATATAGATGTATGTAGAACACACACACACACACTAGACAAAATGGGATCTTTGAACGGATCCATCAGGAACTGAGTCTTGTAACGTGCAACAAGCCTAGACAATTAGACCTAAAGTAGATCTCGTGGTTGTATTTCGCGAGAACGATGAAGATTTTCCGAAAATATCCAACGTAGACCAAACCCGAATACAAACGTCAAAAAAGTTGTCATGAAATTCAGATTGCGGCGACCGTGTAAATCAATAAATCCATAAATGTGTTTGGTGAGGTCCTTGGCTTAGCCTCTTGCCACCAACGTGGTAAATGATGCAGGTACAAGTGGTTGATCAGACCACTCATCCACCGAAATGCCATAGCTTCGTTGGACTGGATAGGCAAATCGGCTCCAGTCCCCCTGCTTTACTAGAAAGGGAGAGGAAAGAAGAAAGAAAAGGGAGAAGTTTTACATCTATTTAGATGTTATACACACACACACACACCCGGCCGGAGCCGGGTCAACCCTGAAAGGCAAGAGGAAGAAAAAAGCGGACACAGACGACGGGCAACAGGCCGAAACAGCGCAGGGGGGGAAAGGAAACGAACGGACCTCCAGAACCAACCTACGCGGAGAAACGGACCTGACAAAAACAGAGCACACACCTAAACCCCACGACACATTACGGAGAGGCACGAAGGGAGAATTAGGGACCAAATGGGGGACTAGCTGGTGACGAGCGTGAAAAACCAAAACAATTAACTTAAAAAGGACCCAGTTCCACCTACAACAGAAGTCGTGCGTTACTCCCCTTCGGGACCGTTGTCAAGTCGTGCCGCAGTGGCATAAACAGCTGTTCAAGTTCCATCGAATTAGATGCACAAAATGTTCAACCTCACCAGAAAACCATCAAAAGAAAAAGGCCACACCTGGAAAGCATGTGCCTGCCTGCAACGTCTTTCATGGTCATGTGTCGCTTCAAAAGCTTGAGCTGCAGGGAAAAAACAAGGTTTCTGGTAGTTCGGACTGGCTTCACAATGGCAGAAATGCATTCCGCAAGATGCACTGGGACGGCAGGACCAGCGGGACATCGCAAGAAGGCTGGTAAACGGTAAGGCCAACTGTTTCGCATTGCTTAGATGAATTACCAGATTAAAATTGTCAATTCTGTAATCCGGTCAGTCGACATTCACCCTAAAAAGGGTTGCCTCCAGTGGCCCTATGGCACCTTGTCGGAGTCACCATAGGTATTACATTAGACAAAATTGGATCTTTGAATGGATCCATCAGGAACTGAGTCTTGTAACGTGCAACAAGCCTAGACAATTAGACCTAAAGTAGATCTCGTGGTTGTATTTCGCGAGAACGATGAAGATTTTCCGAAAATATCCAACGTAGACCAAACCCGAATACAAACGTCAAAAAAGCTGTCATGAAATTCAGATTGCGGCGACCGTGTAAATCAATAAATCCATAAGGGTGTTTGGTGAGGTCCTTGGCTTAGCCTCTTGCCACCAACGTGGTAAATGATGCAGGTACAAGTGGTTGATCAGACCACTCATCCACCGAAATGCCATAGCTTCGTTGGACTGGATAGGCAAATCGGCTCCAGTCCCCCTGCTTTACTAGAAAGGGAGAAGAAAGAAGAAAGAAAAAGGAGAAGTTTTGCATCTATTTAGATGTTACACACACACACACACACGCGCACACACACACATAATATAAATAAATATATATATAATATATATATATATTATATACACATACAAATGATACATGTATACACAGTATGTCAAAAAGAAACAAGGTGGGGATGGAGAACCCCCATGACCAAGAAGGGACTAGTTATTTCGGCAGCTGGGGTTTAACGCGCCCAGTTGTGGGGCCGTCAATGTCAGATGCACTGTTCTCACTGGGCTGAGGTGCATCTCAAAGAAATATGGCAAGGCCTACTATTTCAACGCTCAGCTCAAGAAGTCGCAATACGAGCGGCCCAGCTGACTAAGCCGTCTCACCTCCCAGCACCTGCGTGGAAAGGGAAAAAAAGGATGAAAAAGGTGCCTTGCAAGGTCATTTTGGTCAAAATCTATGATTTTCAGTGCAATTCCACTTGAATCCGGTCACTGCATGGTGGGTAATATTTGGCAACCACATCTCGCAGGGCCTAGGTGCGTGCTGCAAGCATGCTATCTTAGTGTGTCCTCTATCAAGGTCATGCCACAAAGTTCTTCCTCCGACAATGCGAACAGAGGAACATGTTGTTCTTCGACGTTTGAAGCTCAACTTCGCAACAATGATTGCGGTTAGGCATTTGAGAATGTGCTGCAGTTCGAATCGCTCGCAAGGTGAGTCAAGTGGTGGTATTCTCCTTTCTTTGCTCCTTTTGTTTGGGTGCTTGTGTGGCTTCGTCTCAAAATTTGGTACAGTACCCTGAAATCCCTTTGCTTGATCATAATTTCCCATTAAGATGTATTTGAATGGTCATTTTGGTGGCATATCCACTTAGTCAGACAATCCCAAATATCATCAAATTAGTTAAACTATATATCCCATTATGTTATATCCCTGTAAAATGCTCGGTTTTGCAGAGGTAACTTCTCCATTTCCCCCCAATAAGAGCATGGCAGAGAGGTGTGCAAGATGCCTTTGCTGAATGTGCACTGGGCACGCTGTCGGCTGTACTGTTGGTCCAGAACCCAGCTCGCCTCCACATGACAGATCAGCTCTCCTCCAGGTGATTTTTTGTGTTTTTTTTAATGAACCGGAATTATATACTATAAAATGGAGGTTGGAGATGATTCCCTCCATGGTTTGGTTTTTGAATGTGACATTTCATCATTGGACTGGCAACCGCGCAGGTTTCACTGTGCAGGGTCCTCGGCAAGGTTGACGCTTCTTTGCTGACTTGGATCAATGGACAGGTGGCGCACAAGAGGGTTCCTTCCACATAGGGTTTGACATGTTGGATGCGTGGATGAGTTTGAGGGTATGGCAGTGGCCCAACGTGAAACAACAAACAAATCCCGACCAGGTTCACGAGGAAAACCTTTGTATGCGTGTTTCTTTCAGGTTGGATGAATGCTGACATGGTGACATGGTGATGGTCAACCTTGACACGGCCCGGCCGTGTCGATCTTCGCTAAGGCACAGCAGATTGTTCTGGCAAGACGGGGCCAGCCCCCAAGAATCTGCACATACGTTCATCATTTTCGCATTTAATCGTAAGGTAGGATGATGCACTCCCCAGCCCACTGATTTTGGTCATTCAACAAGTCTAGTTTTGTGGATTGTTTGTCCCTCTCTTGCTATAACCTATGTATGATTAAACTAATTATCCATGTGTTGACCGTAAGTCCAGCAGATAAATCCAGTGATTCATCCAATGGACATCAATGGACCAACAATAATAGCAATCATATCTCAATACAATATAAATGCACATTGTTGTGGCTTAATCAATTAGAATCAGAGCGTTTGCTTGGCGCGGTTTCGGCTAAGGTGGACCTATGGAATCTTTGATGACCTGTGGCCCGCAGCTTAGAGTTTTTTTTTAAAGAAGAGGGAGAAGGAATTACAATGAACCAGTATGTCATACGCGCCTAATTTAAAGAACCTAGCTTAAGTAAACCCCTCTGATCTGATCCCCGATCTTTGTTTGCCGATATGAACCAGTCAAAAAAGACGACACATCGATATCACACATCGATATCAGCTGTTGATGTCCTCTTTGTATCTCTTTATCACAGATCACACGGATCACACGGATCTCACCATTGGACCGTGACCAAGTTGCCAAGGAGAGCGCTTCTCCTGGGTCCAAGCGCCGTGCCCCTCTACATGCTGGGAACATCCGCCTGGCCCATCGCATCGTTGCTGGCCAAGTGGCAGTCCTTCTGCTTTGATCCGGGCTCCAGGCACCAAATGGCGCCGATTTTTCTGCTTGTGGGGAGGAAAACATCCAGAAGTATGCGTGTGTGGTGCATTGCCAAAGGCCAAGACGTACAGATGTTTAGATCAGAATTACACATTGCAATGATTTGCTCCTAGATTCGTGATTGATGTGCTGCCCTTGTCGTTTCGCCATTTGCCGCATCACAGGTCGAAAGCTGGCGCCTCAGACCTGCTGTGGCACAACATTTTCCAAGAAATCCCAACTGTGATGCCAGACATTTACCATTCCACGAAATAGATTCTGAAAACCGTTCAGTTTTAGAGGAAAGTAAAGTAGTCTTCCCCAACCCTATTTGGCAGGGTCTATGTTGGTCGGAGCGAGGGTACTTATGTCTTTGGATCTGCCCAAGAATCCATAAGGATCCACACAGTAGGTATATGGGAAACTCATTCTTCACAGCAGTTCTTCCCACACCTGCAGGAGCCACAGCTTTGCGAGCAGCCTGGGCCTCGGGTTTTGTAAAAAAACACTGTTTTGTAAAAATGTGGGATCTTCAAGGATTAACAATGCCCAATTATCAACCCTCCTGGGGCTGTTATAAACCATCCCAAGAATCGGGGCACGCATTTTTAAAAGAAATAACAAAACGACACAGATTGGAGACGGGTGATGGCTTTGTGCTACTGAAACTTCTCAGCCCCAGTGGATCAAACATGCCATTTCTTATGCTCGGGAAAATAGGGGGCTTCACAAAGGACGCTATTGCGTACTACAAGAAGTCAAACATGGCTACACGTATGTGCAATTCACACACCCCTCTTTCATGTTTGACTCTACATCCTCAGACAACTTTTCCATCCGCATTCCACCAAAACAACACACACAAAACAAAACCAACAGAAAACAACAGACACAGGAGCCAATCGTCACACTATACCGACCACACCGAAAAACAAACAACAACAACCAGTCAGCAGAAGCATTGAGTTTGGTCAGACTGTCCGCTAGCATATGTTTGCTGTCAACCCGCCTCAAAGCAATGTTGTTTGCCATCCTCTTATCACGGACAACGATGCCATCACCAACAGCATGATCGTAAATGGGACGGTTATCAATCGTCGCAGTCATACCAACCCTTTCCCTCAAAACTTGGTCGTTCTCCAACTTGTAACTGGGATGAGTGGCTTCTACCAAAATGGACCTTAGCCATTCACACTCTGCAATGTCCCTGGCCAATGACATGAGTTCGGCACCTAATGTAGATTGCGTATGCCTCTCTAGTTTGAAGCTCTTTGAAGCTCTTCCATCTTAATGAATCTTAATGCAGAGACGCTCCCAAGATCTCCCAAGTTTTCCGGCTGCATGGTCACACAAAAGTATGACATACCGTGACTGGCCCTGACTCCTCAGGTCTTCGCAGTTTGACGAAGCATCGCCACGAGGAATCTACCACTACTTATAGGAATACTCGGAACACTGATTTCACTGATTTCACTGTCACTTTTGTTTAAAGTCTCTCATCTTGGCGACAAGATGATTCGCCTCCATTAGGTCTTCCACTTTGGCTCTTTGAACTCTTTGCTGACGGAATGCTGTTGATGCTGCGATGTTTGGCCTCGTGTTTCCCACTAGCCAGCTTGCAGCGCCAATGACCTCTCGAAGCCTCTTTCTTTCGGACTCCGTCAGGTCATCCTGTTTTGATTTCCGTCTCTCCTTGTTGATTGGAATTGTTTGAACCTGGTTGGCATACTCATGTTGACTACAGACGATCGAAAAATCATCTTGTTGTTCTGTTCAAGTTGTCTTCCTAAAACATACCAGAACCTGTTTGCCAATGTTTGAAAGGATATCTCTTGTTTAACCGGTCTAACACTTGAACATGAAACTCTTCACAACCGCCAACAATCATATCATCAACATGTAAACACATCACACCGCCCAAACTGTTCTCATGGTACCAATAGAAAACACAAGGATCCAACTTAGATCGAACCATACCCAAAGAACATAAGGCCAGCCTTACTAAAACTTAACCACCATGCTCGAGGCGCATCGGCCAATCCGTACACACACTTTGTCACTTCCACAACATCATCCCTATTCAACCCTGGAACTCCTTCTTTGGGAATTTTAACGAAGATTTTGCCATTTTTTCTGTTGATGGGTTCCCCCTGGAGAAAAGCTCCCTCAACGTCCGCAATTATGAGTTTCCATCTAAAAGAGGATATTAATTGCAAACACACAACCAAAGCATCCATTGACAAGGTAAGGGACTGCCTCTCAATTTCAAACAAATCCGGATCCCGAAACCCTTTAATACACCACCCACATTTCAACTTGGTTTTTAAGGGACGGAAGGGTCGGGTTTTCTGGTTTTGACGTAAAACTTCCCTCCTCAACTTCTTGGCCGCTTCCCCTATGGACCTTAATGGTGCTGTTACGCAACAATTTGTTCCATTCCTCTTTCTTCGCTTCATCTCTGAATATATATGTTTTTCTTTCTTTGGGGGGCCAACTCATGATTTTGAACCTCTGAATTGCTGACAGGTTGCGCCATCAGTACCTCAAGGGTCTCGTTCCTGGTTTCATTGACGCTACCCATAGCCCCGCGTGATGCTCGGATTGCTCCCAGGTCCAATGTCTCCACGCTCCGCCGAAGTGCCTCAGTAAGATTCGCTCGTATTGGACCATACCCTCCGACTTCGCCTCTCGTTGCTCCAGCTGACGCTGGATATGGGGATGATGTTTCGTGTCGGGCTGACGTTGCTTGTATCGGATTGATTGTTGATAGATCGTGTCCGGCTGGCGTCGATGTCCCATGTCCGGCTGACGTCGCTTGCGCTTGCGCCTCATCGAATCCTTGCATCGTGGGTTCCTCCTCGCTCTCGAGGACGCTCAGGTTTCCACTCACATCTCCTGGAAGTGGTTGTATATCCATGTCATTCTCGTCATTGTCAATGTCCATCTCGCTTGGTCCCCCTCCACCTGTTCCCACGTTTGGCGCGCTGTCGTCCGCCATTGGTTCCAACTGTTGTTCTGGTGGAGGACCTCCCTCTTCGGATATATCTGTGAATACTTGAGCTCCTCGCTTGCTCTTTGCAGACACTCTTGCTAGGAGATCCGGTGTGGTACTGTAAATGATATCGCCGCACGTTGGTCCTCACTCAGTTTTCGTCAAGAAATTCGACCGGCTGCAAGGTTAGCCATGGTGCAGGTGGACAACGTAGAGAACGTCAAAAGAGCGGTTCAACGACAGAGCCGTCCAGAGAGAGGACCATTTGAACCCGGTGACTACGTGTACTATTGGCGGAAAAATCGGGATCACAAAGGTGGGGTATGGAAAGGACCAGCCCGAGTGATTGGCTTCTACAGCCATTCAAAGATTTGGGTTGATCACGCGAACAAAGTACTGAGGTGCTCACCAGAACAGACATAACTTTCAGTACCGTGGAGGACAGCAGACAGGTGGTGAACATTGGGGTTCCTACAGTATCACAGTTCTTGGGCCTTGGAATTTGAAGGTCACTACCAAACACATGCTGATATGGGGAAAACCACAGACTTTCGGGTCATAGAGTTCTTCGCTTGGTTCGTTCTGTCACACAAATCATTAACTTCCTCTTTGTTGCGGGGTTGACACTCCTCAAAACCCTTCAGAAACACTTCTTTCCATAACCCCCCATGCCGTTCAACCAAACCATTTTGCCAGGGGGATTCAGAAGCAATTTTAAAAACATAAGAGCCATCTCTGTCTAACCCTTCTTGCATTTCACCCTCAAACTCAGGGCCTCCATCAGTCAACACTCTGACCGGCACGCCACCCCACCGAATCCAATATTTCCGATATGCATATGCCCTACGAAAATCTTTCGCTTTAGCCCCTTTCCACAAAGGAACCAGTCCCTCACAAATCATGTTCAACATCTTGATGGTCTTACCATTGTATATTGGGACATCAAACGTGTCCAAACACACTTGTTGGTTGAACCCTTCGGCTCGTTTGGCTTTCGTAACTGGATGCGTATTGGGTTTTTTCCTTGACATACAAACGCCAAATTTGAGTTCTTGACCCAGTTGAATAGCCTTTTCACTAGCTCCCGCAGACTTCCTCAACATATGAATGAACCGTGTGACAAGATTCGTGTGGCACCTAAAGACCCTTTCCTTCAAATTTTTGGCATCATCAGCCAGGGATTCAACCGCTAAAACATCATGTTCTTCATGTCTTTTCGTATCCCTAATCCCTTTGACAAAAGTCTCAACCAAGTCTTTAGGGTAAACCTGAGCGCACAAACTCCGATTACACCACACACCACCGATCCGAACCTTCCCCTCAACCCTTTGGTGGTCATGTTCATGTTGACACTGCCGATCCAAAAGCCTAGCCATTTCCCTGCAATTCGTGATCACTCGCATTCTTTTCTTGTAGAACTTGCCATTTTCGGGGTCCCTTAGACCAAAGACTGATAAAAAACAACCGCTTCCACCCCTGCCGCGTCCATCAGATGTTGGAGCTCACTATTTTCCCAGCTTTCATCCTGAACCGGATGTTCCAAGGAAAAAGTTCCTCCCATTTTCATTTGTTCCTGACAGAGTTGGATTGCAAAATGCAACAGCACATCTGCCTCAGTGCGCTTTCTTTTTCTCAGCTCGGGATCGCATCGATCTTTGCTGATTTGAAGCAAGGTGCTGTACGGCCCACACGGAGGACAGACATGCAAATGACGCGGTCTCATAGTTTTCAAATCTTCAAAGCATTTCTTCCGATCTTCAGCTTTGAGGAAGTTCCACCCCTCGTGAAGATCATAAGACCGACCGCCTTTTAACCCTTTTCGTTCAGCGACAGGACAACAAATCAACATGAAAAACAACCATACCATTCTATCCTGCAACTGTTGGTCAATGTCCCCCCCGCATGTGGTATGTAATTCTATGTCTCGTTTCGAATTGTCTAGATCACGAATGTGCTGTACTGTATGGTCTTTCTTAGCCTCTTCTTTACCTTTCTTGGTCGAATCACTGCCCTTCCAACCAGGCCTTCAGCTTCGCTTTCTCCTCTGGCATCAGCTGAATCTTCTTGTCGTCGCTGGATGCACGGGATGTGGGAGTCATCGGGATCCACTCCATGTCGTCGCCCCGAGGTCGGACATTCTTCTTCTTCGCCATAGGTGGGATCACCTCCTGTCGTGGCACATGCTCCTGACTGTCCATTTCCTCCGTGACTCTTTGCTTCCTCATCATGTCGCGTGACAGAATGTACAGCTTCAGGCGTTGCATCTCCGCATGGCTCTTGGTGGTGATGTGTGAGCGAATCCACTTCACATATCCCTTGTCGATCTGGCATATGTCCCCGTAGTTCTTTGCCTTCCCTTTGTACTTCCCCTGAGTGGCCAGGGTCTTTGGATCCACGGGATTCTGACGGTCGTCCGCCTCGACATCGGGATACTGGTCAATCTCCACTCCCGATCCTGTGTGTCATGCCACATGATGTTTCCCTCAA